GATTTCATAGTTTACAACACTTTGAAGCCAGTAAAGAAACTTGTGGTGATTTAAACTTTTCAGATTCATGGTTTGTACCTTGTTTCTGCAAATTACTGCTATGCAGTGACCTTTTTTTCCTCTTTTCTTTAGATGAACACTGAAGATTGCTTCTCTAGAAAACTCACCTTTTCCATTGCCTCTGCCACCTTCTTGAACGTGGCCTGCCCTCTGCCTGCCACGGGGAGAGAGAATCAACTTCCTCTGGAAGTGTTGTGTATACTTTTATCACTGGTTTCATGTGAAAATGATTGTCCTTTCACATAGCCAGTGTTAAGGGCATCTTCAGTTCTCAGTCTCTTATCTGTTGATGACAGAATGTAGGCTGCAAAATAGACTTATCAGTATTGGGTTTTGAGTAAGTAGAGAACTTCCTCTTGAACTGTTTGGAAAAATCCCTTGTTGTTTGTGACTTCAGCCTAACAGCTGGCAGGATGAGTGTAGATACTGAGAGATAGCACCTAGTTTTGGGTAGTAATGAGATAACTAGTATTCAGAGTTTCAGTGCATATGCACCCTGAGTCTGAGTGGCATTGTCATGGAATAGTTTTTGGTAGCCAGAACTCCACCAAGGAAAGGGGCTTCTGAACTAGTATTAAATCAGGTACTTATGTCCAAAGATGTCAGATGTCTTAGACGAGTAGTTTCAGTCTTAAATAGAAAAGGATCCCTGCCACCTATATTGACTTAGAAAACCACAAATTAACATTCTGTTGTATTTTTATTTATTCTGTTAAATGTTTCTCAGTTACATACTAATCTGGCTCAGGCCTTACTCTGGCCTGTTTGATACCTCTGTCTTAGAAACTTCCTTTCCATATTATACCTCGTGTTGGGAAGCTCGGGATACAGTTTGATGGTCATTTAAAATAACATCCCCAGTAGTACTAGCTGATGTAATATAGAGGGTGAAGTTAAAAAAGCCTAAATAATTTCCTTTCTTTGAGAATGCACAAACACACTGTAATTGATGATCTCTATTAGGCTACTGAACCATTTCAGTGAAACAGAACCTTTGTAAAATCTCTTGCCAAACCCAGTTGGGTGAGGGTGGTATTGTTTGCCCTCTACAAGCATGTTAAGATGCTGTTTGTAAACTGCCATTTTGTTCTATCTCCACTCTCCTGAGTGCTTATTAGAAGGGCTCTTGGCTGGGTATATTGGCAGAACCGGTGATTTGGGGCAGCATTCATGTAACTCATCCTGAATGGTAGGGCCTCCAGGGCCCAAAATGATAGCCATGGCAGCATATATATACACACTGCCAGCTGGGCCTGGAATGGCTTGGCACTTATGCGAAGGCAAGTGAAATTTGTATGATAGGACCACTGCCAGTGAGCCACTTTTTTTTTTTTAAAGGTAACTGCACAGTTAGGAATGAATGCTTTTCGCTTCATGGCTTGGATATCGCTATCCTGTATGGGAGTAAAACTTGGAAGTTTCACTAGTCTTTACTCCTTTGAAGACTGTCCCACTCCATTTCTCAAGGACTAGAAGCAGAAAGGCTTCATTTTAAAGTTAATTTATTGTATCACTGTACTAGAATCATTTCGCATTATATCTTTAGGGTAGCAGTAGCCTTGACATAGAAATGCTAGGAAGTGAGAAAGTTCCCTGGCAAAAGGCCATCCTACGCTCATCTCACTGACTGAATGAAGAGAGCAAGACAGAACCTGGCCTTTTCTTGTTCCCTTGATTGCAAGCAAATACTGACCAAGGAACTTAGAAATTTGTTACATGGGATGTTGTCTATTATGTTTATTATGTAAAATGTGAAGAGTTTGAACTAAACTTTGGCAACCCCAGGAAGAATCAGTTGTGCATTAAACAGCTGCTGCCTCTGATGCGGCTGTGCCTCTGGGTGCAGAGAAGTAGGTCACAGTTGATGAACCAAAGGACAAGAAATGTTGATCCTTTCTAACCAAAGATGGAAAAAGTATAAATAGGGTAGCTGAGATATAACCAGTCTCTGTACTAAAAGTGTTGAGTATTAGTGAGGAGGAATGTTTGTTTGTAAAAGAGCTTTGTCCTTTGTCCCACCTACCTGTGATGTATCATGGTATGTATGGTGTGTATCTGTTGGATGTCATTAGCCTTTGACCTAACTTTTATTTGTATATTATTTGCACTACTTAAAATTCATCACTTGCAATCTCTTGACCAAGCCTGAAAAGCTTATTTAGTCTGTTCTAAAATCCTCCCTAGTGCAGTGACATTTTGCGCATATTCCTGGCAATAGAATTAGCACTGCCCTTTTTAGCAAAAGCAACTGTTTGCTGCATGGAATGACTAACAGTCCTGATTGGCTTTTCAATTTGGGGCACTTTTGAAATGTTTGTTTTTTATAATGTGAACCTATATAAAATTCTTAATTGAATTCTGAAATAAAACGTTACTTCCAGACCTAGCTGCTTATTTTACCGGGTTTAATCTGCTTCTCAATAAAGAAAGTTACATCCTTGGTTTATAATTGCATTTTTAATCTCAGGACAGAACATTCTCAAAAACATTAAATCTGGAATTTATGAGTTGTGGGCAATTCTCAATCAAAAAGGACATTTACTCAGATTTTCTACAAAAGTTTGTGTGTACTGCTTTGTTCATACTTGCAAAAAACAGGGCGGAATTAGGGGGAAGACTGATGTTTTTCTTGGTGAAACTGTATTTTTAAAAGTAAATTATTCTTTTATGACAGAAAAAATAGGCATTTACTATAAATCTTTATGTAGGTAATGTAAACTTGTAGCCATTCAGAGGAAATAGCTTAAACCTCTTGACCATTTGAACTCTGCTGCAGTGTGTTAGATTTCCAGTTTGTACAATATGGTTTGTTATTGTACTGCCTTGCATATGCATTAGGAAGTTTTATGCTCCACAATGTACCAATATTTCTTGGCTTGTTAAATATTAAGCATCTATGGTCATTTCTCTAAAAGAGTGGCATTAGGAATATAACACCCAATTTTAACTTTTCTCAGGGAAAATAACTTTTACCAAATGCCTTTTTTTTAAACTTTGAACAGTGGAGGAAAATTGCTTTTAATTTTTAAAAATTAATTAATTTTTAGTTTTTAACATTCACTTCTATAAGGTTCTGAGTTTAAAAATTTTTCCCCTCCCCAAGACAGTGTACAATTTGATACAGGCTCTACTTATACATTCATATTAAGCATATTTTCCCATTAGTCATTATATAAAGAAGAATTAGAACTGATGGGAAGAACCATGAGAATGAAGCAATAAAACAAAACAACAAAGAAAAACAAAGCAAATAAGATGCTTCTATATGCATTTAGACTCCATAGTTCTTACTCTGGATGTAGATAGCATTTTCCATTGTGAGTCTTTTGGAGTTGTCCTAGGTCCTTGCATTGCTGAGAAGAGCTAAGTCTATGAAAGTTAGTCATCGCACAATGCGGCTGTTACTGTGTACAATGTTCTTCTGGTTGAAGGACTCACTTCACTCAGCATCAATTCATTTATATGAGCTTTCCAGGTTTTTCTGAAGTCTGCCTGCTCATCATTTCTTGCAGCACAATAGTATTCTATTACATTCGTATATCACAGCTTGTTCAGCCATTCCCCAATTGATGGGCATCCCCTCAATTTGCAATTCTTGGCCACTACAAAAAGAGCTGCAATAGATATTTTTGTACACATGGGTTCTTTTCTCATTTTTCTCTCTTTGAGGTACAGACCTAGAAGTGGTATTGCTGGGTTAAAAGGTATGCACATTTTTGTAGCCCTTTGGGCGTAGTTCCAAATTGCTCTCCAGAATGGTTGGATCAGTTCACAACTCCACCAACCATGCATTAGTGTTCCAATTTTCCCACATCTTCCCCAGTGTTTATATTAATTTTCCTATTTTGTCATGTTAGCCAATCTGATAGGTGTGATGTACCTCAGAGTTGTTTTGATTTGCATTTATCTAATCAACAGTGACTTAGAGCAATCAAATGCCTTTTCTAGTAACAATTCACTGTAAGCTTGAAAACTGCCTGTACTTAAAAATATTGGCACCAACTGATATTCAGTACTTCAGTTCTCAGTATCCAGTGGCATTATCAGAAAAGATTAAGGACTCAGCCAGGCTTTCTAAAAAGGTGTCAACTACGTGCTAAGGCAGTGGGTTTCCAAAATAAAAATTTAAGGCAGTCCCTGTCTTAAATGTAGATCTTATGTTCTCCTGGACTTGGCTCTTCTTTAACCTCTTGACAGTGAAAAGGTCAGTGCCTTCAAAGAACCTTAATCACATTAACATAGGACACTACCATTTATCTGTGGTTAAGGCTATATGACACTGGAACTATTAGCTGAAAAGTAAAAATTTCAGTCACACTAAGCATTTTGGTCTAGTTAACAACTGTTTTTGCTTATTTTTTTTACCCAGTTGCTTGGTTTCTTTTGCTGTCCCAAGTCACACTAGTTGTGAACATAGACAGTAAGACAAGACACTTAATCTTTTTACTGTCATGACCCACTTTGACAATCTGGTGAAGTTTTTGTAACCCTTCTCAGAATAACGTTTTTAAACGGGTTTTTTTAGAGGTTAAGGAAAAATAAAGATGCAACTCCCCCCCCCCACACCTAAATTCAGATTCCCTGATATCTATTCACAAACCTTGGCTTAAGAAATCCTATTATGCAACTTAAAGTAGGGCAATTTAAGCATTTGTGCTGACACCTTGTTTTATACTGCCTATATTTCCTAATGTATCTCTCTCCCCTTTCCCTATTCGACCCTAATAATGAATAAAAGAGCAGAAAAAAATTAAGCAAAACAACCAACATAGTTAGTTGGGCTCCAAATACAGAACCCCCCACTTTTTTGCAAAAAAGTGGGTAGAGGTGGCAGAGCAATCTTAAGAACAAAATCAGACATCTGAATTAAACAGAAGCAGTTCCCAAAGATAACTGCCCCCAAACCTATCTCTTGTCAAACACTGAGGTCCAAGAACAAGAACTTTAAAATCAGGTTTATTGGGGGCACAGATACATTGAAAATGGCACTTTCTGGTAAGAAAATGCATACATACTTTAAGAAACATAACAAACAGGAAGAAATACATATCTGAGGGTCCCATAAAATTACTTCAGAAAGAACAGCTTATATGGTTCATTTAACTATACCCTTGTCTGGGGAAAGGGAAAAGGAAGCAAAGCACATCTATAAAGTTAACTGATAACTGATGATGAGCAACTTCTTCCCTTCAGTGGTAACAAATATTTTTATTACAAAAATATTCTCTTTGTCTCCTTCCTTAGTCTTTCATTAGGCAGAAACACAAAATTACACATTGAGCTGGAAGGAACTTTAGCTGTCATCTAGTCCAATCCCTTCATTTTACAAATGAGGAAATTGAGTCCTATGGAGGACTAAGTCAATTTGCCTGAAATAGGTAGAGCTGGTATCTGAACCCAGGTCCTCTAACTCCAAATCCACTCCTGTTTTTGAGGAACAAATAATTTAAATGGCCAAGTTGATAAAACATACAGAAGAAAGTTTTGGCTCCAAGTATCACTCTTTGGTCCCTCATGAAGAGAACTCATGGGAAAGAAAGGCAGATAGATGCAGCCGAGTTGAGGCAGTGGATGAATGCTTCAAACTCATTAAAATTCTAATACTATTAAGTTTCTTCAAACCTTTATGCTTGTATAATAAATTATGTCTACAGCACTAAAAAATCTTCACATGAAAACCAGTAGCTCTGCTGAGGACCTTAATGCAGAACAGTGATCTAAATTATATTTGGAAATTTCCTATTCAAGTATTCAGGTAATAATGCCAAGAAAAATGGGGAGATGAGTTTGGTTCTTCCCTTTGTAGGGACTCTAGGCTATAAAGGGTCTTGTTTTCTGATGTTTCAACTCTAGGTACATATAACAAGCATTTTGTTTTTCTGCTTGAAGGTTAGAGCAGGTACGTATAACCATATAGGAAGGTCACAAGAACTGTGCCTTAAAGTCTTAAAATATTCAATGCTTAGCACAGTGCCTGGCACACAGTAGGTGCTTAACAAGTGTATACTGATTAACTGATTTTGAAAATATTCCCATCTAGCCAGCCCTAGTGAACCTAATAGAGTCAGGATGTCTATCAGAGTCAGAAGCTGGCTGACAACCATCTGAATAACTTGAAGTATATATTACTGCCTTTTAACAAAAAGTTCTGTAATTCAGACTTGCAATAATTTCATGAGGACATCGCTCCTTGCTCTAAACTATACTTTTTATTTGTCTCTCGGGTACTATTTCATAAAAACAAACCCAAAAAAAGCCTTTTTTTTTTTCAAATGGGAGAGTCAGGGAAATGGCTAGTCTTTTACTGGAGGAAAGAAAACACTGCAACACATCTCAAGTAAATCCAAAGGTTCAGTGGCTCAACTGGTGGGGTGGGGTACCAGCTTGTAATGGATTCCACAGTTAGGATGCTTTGTCTCGCCTTTGTGAAGCTATAACCAGATGACTGCACTGCCGTCCTCTTCACAGATACAGCCTGCTAGTCACCTGTCAGTTTGATGGAAGGGACCAGGTTGGGTTCCTCCTTAGTCCCTGGAGCTGCCTTTGGGACTAGCATATTGTATGGATCTAAATCATTCCTTGCAGCCATCATAATCTCTCTCTCCAAGCCAGTAGCCTCCTCATCAGAAGGGATACCTCCTCCCGTTGCCAAGGAGTGAGTGGCCACCCAAGCCGGTCCACAGGCCCCCAAAGCCTGGACTGCCATCATCGTGGTATCCTGCAGTAACCTTGAAGCCGTGATCACGCCTGAGACAACTAAGCAAAAACACCTTTATCACAATGAACTTGATTCTTCTATTTTTTCAAAAGGTCTTCCCCAACGACAGACTGTCTATGATCCAGTAGTAGAAAGGAATTGTTACACATATATCTGGTAGGAAGACGGAATTCAGTTTTGCCCATATCTTCACTTGTGGCATTTAAGAGGTAAAAAGAAGGGCCTGAAACCCACGTCTTCTGAGTAAGATAGGTCAAAGACAGGAGGGGATGCTCTCATTGTTCTTTTGTGAGGTAGGCTAAGTTGCTAAACATCAAGTCTATAATGGGGAACAATAAACTTCTGTGTGGTAGGAAGTACATGTTTGCAGTGGAATGGCTTATGACATTCAGCATCAGTCAGGGAAGGATAATACTGCCTGTAGCAGAGGTAGGCAAAACTCAGGCCAATCATGGACCCAACCAGCACGTCTGAAGAAGGAAAAAAAACACAAAACCTCTGTCTCACCCAAATAAGAGTTACAGCCTGTCAACTGAATACCCATTTAAAGAGAACTCTACCATCCTTGCTCTTATCTTTTTAGGGCTTCTCTGAACTACATAATGACATCTGGATTTCTCAAGTGTTACTAGTTTCTTCAAAAAGCTAAAAATCACCCTACTAGTCATCATAACTTCAATACAAATTAGATCTTTAGTGAATACAAAAAAAAAATCCCTTAATTTGGAGCCCCCAATTTAATAATTTGTAGTTATATAGTTGAGTTTATATTTACCTCTGAACACCACATGAAAAAGATTTAATTATAAAACTGATAATATAATTTCTCTGACATCTCAGTCACATTTACCTATTTTGGAGGAAAAAAAATCTCTGCAAACATGGGTTTTTTTGCCTCCTAGCAACCACTGTTAACCAAGTCTAAACTACTGGCTTCTCTGTAATCCTGACTTCTAACTACAAAGTTTTTCCTTTCAATTAGTTTGAATACTTGAAGTTTATAACGATTACTAAAATTTCTACACTGTAGTTTCCAAAGCACTTTCTGTCATCTCGATAATCTAGATAGTGGAAGTACTATTTGCAGGTGAAGTACCTTGCCGAAGATCACAGTTAAGAATAACAGCTTGAGTCTTCTACCTCAATTTTATAGTCCTGAGTGATTTCCATTGAACACATTACCTCTTAGGGATTAACTGCCTCTTGGAGGCCATTTCCTTTTTCTATACAAAAGTCTCCTATTACCATTAGTGATCTTGAACCATTCCCGATTTCAAATCTTTGTAAAGAAAACTTGCATGATCATTTTAGTTTTGGCAACTTTGCCTCCTCCATATAAAAGACGTTTCAAGGAGTAAATCTGGAAAGTGCCTAAACAAGTCTCTCTCTTTTTCCCTCTTAGAGAAGGACACATCTTACCCCCAAGACCCTACCTTGCCAATGGTGTTTGTAATCACAGGTTCGGGAAAGAGCAATGACAGCTGCAAAGAGGAGAGGTGATAGGAAGGCACAGAGCCGCCAGGATTTTCCACGACCTTGAGGAGTGAAGCAGTGTAACTTCCCTGCTAGGTAGAAGGAGGTGAAGGCCAGTCCAGCAAATGCAACTGGAATGGAGAAAGCCAGTACATGAGTGCTTCTTCTAGGAAGCTAATTCATTACTCTTTAGATTGTAGCCCAGGAATCATTTGCAACCCCAAAAAGTTGCTGTTGGCCTTCACTGACAACCCCAAGTCTATATAAATCTTCCTCCTTCATACAGCACAAGTGTGGTACAGAATAGAGACTAGGGAAAGGAAGCAATTAAAAATAAATGATCTCAAAGGCAACAACAGCTCTAACTTGACTGCCTAAGGAATGTATAGTCAATTCAGGAAATGATAAATTATTTGCAAACACGTGATGATTCTACTATTTCATGCAGACAACCTCAGAAATATCTTGATAGGAACTGGTGAGCTAACTCATTATTGATCATGCTTACTATTTTCAATTCTTATCCTCAAATTCAAAGGGGCTCAAAGTATGTGAAGGTCTAGGGTAAAAAGGTAAGGTGTCTAGTATTCAAGTACAAATTTTTTAAAAATGCACTAGCTACTACCCACTCTCCAATGATGTCAACTTCTTAGTGTTCCAATCACAAACATAAAATGAGAAAAGAATTCACTTGATGGTCATACAAGAAGAATGCCCACTGGGGAAGCTCTTTCGGCCCTCAGTGACCACCTCCTCATCCCCTGTGCATATCAGTTCAGAATTGGCTTGTCCATCTGGGAAGCAACGATAGAAGAAATCAGGGCGAGGCCTAGAAGGAACAGAAAATCTGTGGGCTACTTGAGACTGGTGGTCAGTTAAGAGAATTGGTTTGAACATCGTCCTGAGGCCAGGGTCACTGATTTAAGTTCAGTCCTGTTAAACCCTGATCTATTTCATGGTAACTGATGATACCAATGACTCAGGGTCAGCTGTCTTCTAAACAAATGCTGTCATTTCTAGGTAAGAGTAGGCAATGGAGTTTAGACAATCAAGGCACAGCATCACCATTACTGAAAAAGCAAAATCTTACTGATGAAATCTTTATTTCAAACAGACAACATGCCTTGATGGACTGGCGCCAATTCAGTAGCCTCATCAGCCACTCCCAGATTAAGAAAAGGAAACCTGTCAGCAGGGCTAAGCAGTACCCATATATACTATTGTAGGTCTAAGGTACATGGTGGAAAGAAGAAAGATGGAAGGGAAGAACAGAAAAGAGAAAATGTGGATAGAATGAAGAAATAAATTCATAGCTTAATAGATATGAGAAGTGGTCGAATGCCACCAACAGTTGTGTCAAATAAAAGGTCTGGGTGAGCCTGACCCCCTTACCTTCCCACGATCAGCTTTATTGTATTGGTGAAGACTCCATTTAAAGCAAGGGCAAGACTGGCAGCTACAAATGGAAAAGTATCATTGTGATGCCTAACCTCAGGGAAAGGTATGAATAGTGTTTGGGTAACACATGAGCTATATGGCTTTCAAAATAGCCAGAATCCTCCAAAAAGGAGTAACAACCATCTTTCTCTTCCTAAGGATAGGGTCACTTAGAAGATAACTGTACAAGTCATCTTGGAGGCAGTGCTCCCAAATAAGCCTTTCTATCTGTGGCATGGCATATGGTATAATGGAAAAACATTTGGATTTTCAGTCAAAAAACCTTGGTTCAAGTCTTGGTTCTACCATTTGCTGGTTTTGTCATTTTGGGCAAATCATTTAACCTCCTTAAGCTTCAGTTTTTCTAAGGACAATAGTAATACCTGAATTATCTACTTTACAAGGTTATTATATGGATCAAAGGAGAAGTACGTAAATCTTTGTGGGTTTTTTTTTTTTGGCAATTGGGGTTAAGTGACTTGCCCAGCCAGGGTCACACTGCTAGTAAGTGTCAAGTGTTTGGTCTGAGGCCAATTTTGAACTCAGGTCCTTCCTGATTTCAAGGCCAGTGCTCTGTCCACTGCGCCACCTAGCTGCCCAAGAAGCATGTAAACTCTTAACACCAATGTTAGTTAGCCATTAGCATACTGTCCCCCTGACACGGACAGATCCAAGTGGGGTTCTCTAGTAAATGGCTTCCTTAATAGACGGCCCGGCGGCATGGGCACAGACTCCCAAGGCTCATCTGTCCAGCCACTCCCTCCCTCCCCTCGACACTCTGGGCACAATTACACCTCTTACCCAGGCACGCCTGCTTGGTGTCTGCTCCATCTGCTTTCTTAAGACATTTAACCAGAAGGATGAGAGAGAGGGGACACAGAAACACAATCAACTGGAAGGGAACATAAAAAAGCTAAAGCTGCTTACTGCGACAATGGTATGGGAAGGGGGGCTGCGCGGGACAAAGCCTCCCATACATCAACTGTGGGCCCGTTTCCCCTCCCAGATAATCATACTGTGCACGAGTTTTCGCTCGCTGGGCTCGAACTAGAACTTTTTGGTACCTCCCAAGTATACAAAGACGGCCATTCTGCTAAGCTCTAACCCGGGCCAACTTATCAGCTCACAAAAAGGCCCCTGCGTCCTGGACCTGCACTGGGATACAGCAAAGCTCGGGGCGCTCGGGAGGCAAGGTGGGGAAAGGGGGCAGGGGGAGGGGCTCGAGGGCCGTCGGACCCCCTGCTAGGCCCGCGGCCCATCCCCCCACGCCCCAGCCAGGGACCCACAAACAGCAGCTTGGTGGGGAAGTGGTCGTTCTCCACGTAGGGGTTGCGGTACAGCCACATCTCTTCGGGTTGGATGAGCCTCTGGAAGGGCGGGAGAAGCTCTATCACCCTGGAGGAGGGAAGGGAGGACCAAAAGACACCAGGGCCAGTGAGGCGGACTGAGGAAGCGACGAAGGAAGCCCACCCCTCCCCGGCCCCGCCCCCCGGCTCGGGAGCCCCCTCCCCCCCTCCCCGCCGGGCCGCAGTGGGAGGGGCAGGGGCTCTGCGTCCAGGCCGCCCTCGGGCTCACACAAAGGCAGTAAAGAGCACGATCCTCACGCCAACTTCGGCCCCCAGAGCCGCCGCCGCCGCCGCCGCCATCACCTTCCCCAGGGAACCGAGCCGAGGTGCTGCCGCTGCCGCTGACGTGGCAGGCGGAGGCCCCGCCCCCTCCAGGAGGGGAGCTGGCAGCGCGCGAGCACACCCTGGCGGCCCCTTCGGGAATGGCGGGCAGGGCCAACAGCATCACCCAGCTCCAGCCTTCCCCGGCCAGCCCGGCAGCCAGACCCCCCTTCCCCCCCCCCCCGATAAAAATAGGAGAGAGGATCTGCAGCAGCCGTGGGGCTGGGGGTGGGGCATCCTCACGGTTTCCTTCCACCTCCTCACGGAGTTCTTTGCCTCCTGGGTTCCAGCACCGTTAGGAGAGGACAGAATTGGGTAGTCCCACCCCGAGGCACGCCAGACTAGGCGGGTCGTCTGTGAAATTCGGCGTTAGGTGACATCATCACTGAGGTTCTTCCCAGCCCTAGTGCCCACGAGTTCTAGCTGCCGTGTTCATGCCAGCCTCACAACCGCGTTACTTTTACTACACTCAAGCATTCCTTTCCCAGCCCCTCTGAACACCTTTTCAGAAAATCTACTTCATAGTTTTTCTGGATTGCTGCGGGTCATGCCAAAATCTTGCCTGCAGAGCCAGAACATTCAGGGCCGCGTGGTATCTTTTTTCCTTCCCAGTGAAACTATAACATGGAATTAATAGTAAAGACAAAGCCCAATTCTTAACTTGGAACATTCAGAACAATTTATTGAAGTAAACCTCAAGCAAAATCTGTAAATCAGTGGAATGTCATTTAAAAACCTTTTCAAATTAATCCTCACAGAAGCAAAAAAGCATCTGAATTCCAAAGTATTTGTAAAATAAAAAAGGCAACATCCCAGTAAATATAATGTACAAAAATTATATGTTCCTACCATCACACACATTCAATTCAGTAAGAAGATTAAATATTACAGGCAATTCTAAATACACTAGTCAACAGTAAGCTATCTATATACAATTAAACCAAGTTTTACATGTTTCACACTATGCAATAGAACATAGGCCAAACAACAAAACTCCCCAAATATTGTATATCTCAAAGTCAATGCAGCAACATCAAGTCATGTCGTAATACAGTAATGCCCCAGTGGAACATCCCCAGGGAAAGTTAACACTAATTTGTTAGTGTTAAAAGCTTCCATCCAAGTCACAGAAACTCATAAGAGATTGACTTTAGTGAATATTGATGGTTTCCTATTAAAGACTCAAGTGATTTCATTAAAAGAACATTTCACAGAATCTACAAAGTTTGTTACAGATAAAGTCTACAGAAAACAAATCTACAAAGATCATTATTACAGATAAAGACCACATGGAAATGAAAATGGAGTCTTTTAGGTATCTGTTTTTATTGTGCAACATCATTCAAAATGGGTACAAAAGGGCTTAAATCCTCACACCAATCTCGAATATGCATATGCCCTTATGCAAAGAAAAATATCTCATCACTAGCCAGTTGTAACCACTATCACCTTGGTTTCAGTGGCGATGTAATTTTTATATGAATAACACTACAAATGAGATATACCAATCAAGATCAATGACAAGTTAAAGTAAATATCATCCAAGTCCATTTCTAAACTCCTAAGAATTCCTTATAAAGGTCCAACGCTAGGCCCCTTGAGCTATGCTCCAAAATAACCCTAATATACTCTTTCTTTCCAGTCAGAAGTTTAGAAACGGTGGGCATTCCTATTCTGATGAACAGATATGTTCAATAAAAACCACATGAAAACATGAAAGATTGAGTGAATGGCTTTGGCAATTAAGACATTATTTTACCTTACTTTTGTTTACATGGGAATGATTTTAAGGATCTCCATTATAGAGGCCACTGTAGTTCACCAAAATTCTTTCTCCCTTCCTTTAAGCACAAACATATAACAAGCTTTACCCAAGTCTGTCACTCTGTAAGGGACTATGATAGAAAATGGAAATAAGTTTCTGAAACACAACTGATTATATCCAGCATTTTAGGAGTACAATGTTAAGTGCAAAATTTTTGTTACACAGACACATTAAAGGGAAAAGGGGGGAGGGGTGGAACAGAATTGACACAATATTGGAAATAAAGAACAAACATAGGAAATTGTCATAAAATGCTGCTGGTTTCTTATGTAGTAGTCTCTTCCTAAGTGCCTACGTAAAACAGAGATGTCTGCTCTGAAAATCCCATTTGCACTACCATAAGTTCACCCAAGTTAAGGAGGGTAAGAGACTCTGCTACTAATTCTCAATGCAGTGCACAAAACAATGCTTTCTACTATTTATAAATAAAAAAGCGGTAAAAGGAGCATCTGAAGGGCTTCAAGTATGTACATTTGAAAACCTGAATTCAATGAGGCAGAGGTCTCAGTGTTAAAGTGACTACTTCGTACCCTTCGTACCTGTGGTAAACATCATCCCCACTGCCTTTTTTCACCTCCCATCCCCATATCTTTCCAGGTAAAAGTTTGCTTGCAAAGTTGCTGTATATACAAATTTTTAATCTTTTCAATATTTGCCAATTTACAGCAAAAATGTGTCTACTTCCTATTTTACCTGAAAACAGAAGTGAGTTTCATTTTAGTTTCTGTTTAAAAAAAAGACCACAATGACCTTTTTTTGGAAAGGTCTGGACAAAGGAAAATATCTCACCTGATCTCATCATGTACCAGCTCTTATGTTATCAGACCTACCAACAGAATGAGAAGTAATTCAACTGGACAAGGCCCTCCTCTGGAGGAAATCTGTTCCTACTATCCATCTGATAAAACCCCTAATGAAAACACGTAAGTGGCTAAGCACTTCTCAAGTGGTAAGAACTGTCTCATTTGAATTCTTTTGTTTTTATACCACATTAGAACATGATATGTGGCAGCAACACTCTAGTTTTGAAAGTGCAAAGAAAGGGCTTTATTTTTTAAAGATAACTGACCTCTGCTGGGCAGCACAGAGATTATAACTTTATAGATAGCAACTTCTGTTACACAAACTACAGACCAAGGTATTTGCAAATAAGTTTGAATGTGGTTCAAACACAGAGCAAGAAACTACTCTGTCCACCAGGACAAAAAAACTGTCAAGCACTCAACTACCCTCTAGTCATAGTCCTCTGGCTAGTTAGAATGCTTGAAGTTCCAATTCCTGAGTAGCTTTAGCTGTGGTCAGTGTTTATGGGCACACAGTGATAATTTTCTTCTCTGTGAAGATGAGGGTAAAGAGATTGGGGGAAGATGTGCATACCATCTTTTTTTGTGTGTGGTTTGAATATGTATCCTCTCAGAGGTGGTCCTACAACAATCCAAGTAATAATGACATTCAGCTTTAAAACTCAAACCAGATCATTTCTTTAAAAACTCTGATGCACATTGAAGATAAACTGAAAATATGCTGTAAAAAAATCACCTCCTCCTTCCTGTAACTCCATTCTTATCAGTTTAAAGAGCCACAAAGTTCACTTTTCTGCTTTCCACAGCTGCACTGGCATCAGTGCTAAGAATGAATATTTATCCTCATATTAACCAACTCTTACTATATAAGTCAAGCTTGACAGCCAGTTCTTCTGTTCCCTGAAACTGGTCCAAGTCTATTCCATTCTATCCCACTTCACATTGTCCTGGGGAGGGTCTTCAGTATTTCACCTTCAACCACAACTGATTCAGATGTGAGCTTCATGCCAACAACTACAAAATGTATCCTCCTTCAAAATAATTAGCACGAGGTAAAGCAGAGAATAATAGAGGAAATGCTGGAACTTAGCGGGTTTGCCTCATTCATTTCTTTGTGAAAAGGAACAACAACAACAACAACAACAACAACAACAACAACAACGACAAAATTTATGCCACTGACTACAAATTTGAAAGTGACCCTCAGCTCATTCAAAACATTACAGTGAATAGTCTGGGTGCAAGGGTACACTTACACACTCACCTTTTCCACAATCTCACATTCTAAAGGTGCAATAAAAAATATATGACAGGAAAAAATGAGACATCCTCTTGGCACTGGCACTACTAAACCAAATCCATTTTTTTAAAGTCCTTCAAACATTCAGGTGCTCAGTGGAAAAAGCTGTTATTTATGGTCCAACGTTTCTGTTGTGCTAAGCTATCTAACAGCCTATGCCTTTCCATTAATTATTCCAACAAAGAAATCTTGGTACAGCTGTGTTACTCAAAGAGAGAAACAGCCAACAATGAGACACTATTTTAAAAAAACAACCCAACAAATACAAATACTTCAATATGAGGTTTTTGCAGTATTCAGCACACCCTGGCTTACCCTGTAAAATTCAACAGAATATTACTAAGTAGTACTGAAGCCAAACACATTATTACACAAAGCAAACATTAGATTTCCTGTTGGATGCTGTTGCAAGAGAAGAGTTATGTTTGGAATACTAAATTAAATCTTCATATTTATAACTTTTTTTTTTAAAAAAAGCAAATATATCATACATATACAAAATTAAAAGTATGATGCCTAAATATTATTAAATAATGTTAAAAGGATATCAAAATACACAAATGCTAAGGAAGAAAAATTTAGTGTGTTTTGATAAGCTGTCATTTACATTAGTAGTGACCACAACTAGCGACACAGATAGCATTTTCCATTTAGCTCTTGCCACTGTGGCAAAATGCAGGGAATCGGGTTTTACTGGAGTAATTAATTCCCTTAACAAAAAAAGAAAAAACAATTATAGGAGGCCCAGTAAGTCCTTTCAGGGAGTTGGTAGTTCAAGTGCTTAAGGTAATCATAGTGTTCTTTTTTTTTTTAATCCAGTATACATGTACGTGTCCGTGCACCCGTATATGCACACAGAGGCACAAAACTGCATTTTCCTTCTTACTTTCCATTTTGTTTCAGTTAGGAATGCTCTAAAATTGATATAGAAAAGGGAATACATATAATAGTACGATTGCCCCAAGTATGGAAGAGATGAGATGGATCCAATTTCTTTTCTGGATTCCTTATTGGGTCTTCGGAAGGAAGGGGATGCTACCACGTATCTGCAGTTCTTTCTATTCAGTCAAAACTCAGAGAAGAAATGAACACAAGACGCTCAACACAATGACATTGCCATATCTTGTGTTAGTAGTCCCGTTCCCCCCCCCCCCAATACTGGGAAATGTATTCCTAAAGAACTAAAAATAAATGAATTCCAAGAGTAAGATACATGTCTTGGTGTACTAGTAAATTCTGAATCACAGCCAACGCCTTTTGTTAACACTGACTTCCCTGGGAGCTTTTCCCAGATGATTGGTAAAGAGCAAGTGCATTTATGTTACTGGTTCATACCCTGTGGAGTTAGAAGAGCTACTTGTTTCCTAACAGCAGGGGCAATGTTAAGTACCAAGATAACAATCAATGAACACTGTTTCAATATTGCCTTTTAACTTCATCCATCACAACTAAGAAGAGCTATTTAAAACACAAATCAAAGCACATCTGTGTATTTTCCACCAAGAAAACAAGGCTGGACTAGTCAGTGAACAAAAGGAATGCTTAGTTAAGGCGAGGAAGAGGCAGAAAGGAAAAAGAAAAGCCCAAGATTCCTCTCCAGTTGAGCTTACACCTGCATACAATAGCGCCGGCCCCAGCACAAGGCTTGGTGAGTTGGATGCTATTCCTCTCTCTTTAATGGCCTACCTCAGTGTGGCAGTATGGTAAGGATAGCTATTCTTCCTGCCTCTTCATACCCATATAGACACGTCATTTGTGAAAAGTTAGCATTAACAAAAAAAGCGTTTAAAAACCAGTGAGTAGAGTCATCCTGTAATTTTTAAAAAATAAACTATTATATTCATATTAATAACTTAAATAATGCTCATAGAGCCCACCTTGTCTTGGAGCCCAGAGAGGTACACTCAACAGGAAGAGGCATTTTGTTTACATCCAGATTGACCACTCCCACACCCCAACTTCCAAGACCACCAGAGAATTCTAAAGCGCCACAAAGGAGTTAGTCTACATTAATTTTTCATAAAAATGTATGTAAAGACTATTATACCCTTTTCTGGAGTATTCCAGAAAAGAAGTGGAGTTCCTACTCCCCCCACCCCCCCACCCCCAACTTTTTCTTTAAACACACTGATTAAACTATCTAAGTCATATTTTTCAAGATTCCTTAAAAGCAAAATAAAGGAGTGGTGACTACTTTTAACCTTCTACACTCAGAAACGTTTTAAACTTGAAATTCCGGCTTACTAACATAAATGTATTTTCTAATTTTTCTTTTTTAAAGGCCAAGGTATATCTGTTTTTCAGCTGCAGAAGCACATTTAAGGGCAAGGAAAACACACAAAGAATTTAATCACCCCACCCTCCACCCCCGATCACAAATCAATCAAAATCCAGGTATCACTGTCTACCTTGGCTGCCAGGATCACATAATTCCTCCATTCCAATTACAAAGCCAGCTCAGGTGATAAACCAAGTACATTATGACAGTTTCTTCTTTATCCATTTCATCACCTATTTATTTTTTACCTTTATCTTTCTTAAAAAAAAAGAATTAAAATAAAAAATAAAAATAAAACGCTGTAAATTTATTCCTTCACGTCATCTCCAGGATCTTGTGATTCCAATTTGCATCTTATCTTGTTCCAGTACTCTGGTGCCACAGGAGATTTAGGGTTATGTTTAGAGCAGCAGAGACGGCCTTCCAGTGCAGAGGGCACCAAAGCCTCTTTCTCATGATCTTTACAAAATGAACATGGACAGAACTCACAGAAAGAAACTGCGGAGTTGCTGCACGTGTCACACTGATGCCAGGGACATTCCCACTTTCCTAAGGCAAAGAGGAAGAAGAAAATTCAATTTCACATTCGTTTTGATTATACATGTTAAACTCACTTGAAATGTTAACAAGCCCCCCACCTTCCTTCTCATTGGAGGCCAGGTGGGGTACAACGGAACAGTACAGAGCTTAAGCCAACAAAGAGAACCATGGAGAAACATTTAAATATGGGCATGCCGGGGGCGGGGGGGTAGCGCAGCAAGGTGGTGCAGTGGATAGAGGACCGGCCCTGGAGTCAGGAGGACCTGACTTCAAATCTGGCCTCAGACATATAACACTAGCTGTGTGACTCTGGGCAAGTCACTTAACCCCAATCACCTCACCAAACCCCCCCCCCCAAATAAATAAATATGGGCATGCCTTATTACTCTCCAAAGACTTTAGTCCTATGGTGTGATCAAAAAAATAATTAGATATGTTTGTCCACAGAGCATTCAAATCCACAGCAAAGCAAAGAGTAATTTCATTTATACCATCAACAGTTTTGTTTGCTTTTCACTCCCACCCAGCTGCTCTCCTTTGGCCTTCTTGATCCTCCTAACCCCTAGATACAAGATTACTTCTGTCTTGGGACTCACACCTCCACAGCACCCTCTGCTCCTGGGATTCCTCTGAATGGAGGGTGAAGTTCTTTCCAAACCTCCATCTAAGGAGGGTGCCTGGGCCAACCATCTTTTCACTTCCTACCAGGGCTGTACTCCTTTGGACTTCATCATGCCCCTGAGCCAGGTACTTTCTCTCCCCACTCCTTTTCAGCTTCCTTTTTTTGTGTTGTCTTCCTTTACTGGATTGTAAGTTCCTTGAGCTGTCTTTCATTTTTTTCTGTATCCCCAATGCTTAGCACACAGTGGGGGCTTAATAAATGCTTATTTACTGATTCACTGACTCCACGATACTCACAGTTATAGGTTTGGAGTGGGAAGGCACCTTAGAGGTCACCTACTCCAACCCCTTTGTTTTCCAGAAGAGGAAATAACCTTTCTGAGCCTAATGATATGCCCAAGGTCATGTGGGCAGCAAGAAACAGAACAGAGACTTGAACCCAGGTGCTCTCTGGATCCACATCTGACCCAACATCTACTTACCTAAGGCTTGGTTAGCCTCAGGAAAGGTGAACATGTCCTACATTCAAATGTAAACACACCTAACAGCAGGCAAGCAAATGCCAATTCTCACCATATGGTGGCTGCGTCAGGTTAAGGCATAGGAGGTGGTATGCTTTTGGACAGTCTTTTTTGTCACACATGACCAGCTCTCCTCCATCTCCACACTGAAAACAATAATCCTCATGCATCTGCTTCTGTTCTGTTTTGATTTTCCGTTTCTTCTGCTTCAACTTAGCATTTTTTGCTTTTTCTTCATTTGCTGACGCAAATGCCGTCTGGTGAGAAAAAAAAATCACACTGTAATGACCAGAGACAATGGAGGAAGCTTCAGATGGAAAGTAAAAAGAAAACAAACAAAATCTCACTGCAGTTCCACATTTGTTTAAATTAGTAAGTTATTTGAATACCTAGAGAAAATTATGATTGTTTATTGTTTTAAGAAAATGAAACTACAGTAATTTATTCTTACTGGCTTTTGTGAGTTTCACTTTTTTTGGGGTGATCTTTATCTGGTGTTGCTTCTTTTACTAGTCTGGTTCACTTTTTTCGTGGCTAACATGATTTCCTACTCAATCTGGTAAGATAAGCACCTCCTTCCTTCTTTGAATTAAAGTGGATAATCTTGCATTAAAGTAATTTTTAAAGAAAGCACTTTGGAACAGCAAGTACATGACACAATGATGAGAATGAGGCTCAGAGAAAATAGGTAATCTGTCCACAGTGACACTAGTAGTTGTCAGAGGTGGAATTTGAATTTAGGTCTTTCCAAACTGGAATCTCTATCCTTCTCTATGCAACACTGCCTCACCAACATGGAACACCCCCAACAACAATTCTGATGCAAAAAGGGGGAAAATTTTCATGAATTTGCAAACTCAGCTAAGACAGTCAAAAAAATACCATACAATTACAATTCCAACCCTTAATTCAAAGAACTTTACTGAAAGGTCAGAAGTGAACAATGAATGAGAACTTTTACCGATGTAGTCAGTACTCTCAAAACAAACTGGGTATCCCCAAATTAGGGTCTCCTGAGATGGCTAAAAGAAGCCTGCTCTCACCAGCCCTCTTTTCTGTCTGCTGGGAGTGGGAGCATTATCCTCCAGGAAATCTTTCTTCCCTGTACAACTGACCTTTGGTCGCACTCCTAGAAAGCCGCTGCAGTTGTCTGCTCCACAGTGACACTCTGTTCTGCCATTGCCCAGGCAATCCAGATTGTAATTGAACGTTAGCTCTACCCCTGAAACAAAGAAAGCAATCATCCACATGCAAGACATTCTTGAGAGAAGAAATGTCATCAGACACCCATTCATAACGAAAAAAGAGACACAACTTGGATGTAAAGGCTATTCTTCCTCTTCAAGTCTCACCACATTAAAAACACCAGTGGAAAAAGAAAACAAGGGAAACATCCATGCCTACACATAGCTGGCAGCAAATATAAATCCTGTAAAAAGAAGTGACATCCTCTACTCAAAAACAGCTGGAAACAATGTGGCCATGACCAAGGAATCAAAAATCCATGCTCCAGAAAAAATTAATTTAGTTTATTTTCTGTTCCAATGCCGTCTCCCTATTCATCAAACAATCCTATGGCCATGAAACTACACAGCACTGAATCACTGGAGGTTATTTTGAATTAATTGGTACTAGCTACAGCCACACGATCTCCCAGTCAGATCAGGAGTTGAATAAGTATGGCTATCACATATTTCCATCAAGCAGGAATTTAAACTAGGGTCTCCCTAACTTTCATTAGCCAGAATTTATATGATTCTTAATAATATGAACATATTTTTAAAACTCTCACATCTTGGGCCAAAGTGTGTGTCTTGTTCATTTCTTCCAGAAATTTAAAAAATTGAAAACTAAGTTTCATCACTATGATACTTGAAAGAATGGGCTCAATGAAAGGAACAGTTCTGTTTAAAGATGCTATATATATATATATATATATAAATAACACTAAATAATTTGGAAGAGATCAGTCTTTTAAGGAAACAAATTTAGTCAAAGTTAACACAGGCTAATTGCCTTTAGGACTTAAAAAAAGTACAGTAATTAAAATCTTAAATATATGGCTACAGATACGGGCCCTAATTACTTAAACAATTCCATGAGAATATGAGTAAGCACTGCATCTCAAAACCTGTCCTGAGACTCACTGTGTTGTCTTATTCAGGATGTGCATGTTTCAATTTTTATAACTGCACTTTGAAAGGATGCTAAATTCAGAATAAGGGATACTTTACAGATACCTGGGGAGTTCCCAAGCTGAAAACAAAATTTTTTATGGCTTTCCCCCCTCTAAAAGGAAGACTGAGTTGTAATGAAAAAGAAGGAAGGAAAAAAAGGAAAAGACAGGAAAGGAAAAAAAAAGAAAGAAAAAGAGAAGGGCTGCTTTACCTGCAGGAATATCACAAAGAGCAAAAAGTCCAACACGAACATCCCCATTCACTGTCCACTTTTGAGTTTCACAATTTGGATTGCAACTATGGTTCATAAAGCGAGAATAATTCCCTTTTGGGCCAGCATCGATTATACGGTCCTTAAGCGAAAAAGAAAATTATCTTTTACTTGAGATCATTATGGGCCTCTTTATAAATTGTTTCTTTTTTCTTTTTCTTTTTTTTTTTTTGCTTTTTGGTGAGGCAATTGGGGTTAAGCGACTTGCCCAGGGTCACACAGCTAGTAAGTGTTACGTGTCTGACGCTAGATTTGAACTCAGGTCCTCCTGACTCCAAGGCCACAGCTCTATTCACTGCACCACCTAGCTGCCCCGGGACTCTTTTAGAAGCACCAAATACAGTAAGAGGTTCTCTTGTAGCAGACACTTCCCAACCTGTCTGTTCTGTGGTCTTCACTAACATTTCAGATTTAAGCAATCTAAAAGTGCAGTAATTCATATCCCCGCTGGAAAGTAACTTTAGCCTATTGTCCTTACGGCAAAGGTAATTTTGAAATAGTGATAGCTCAGCTTAGTGTTTTTTTAAAAGCCTAGCACTTAGAAAATCAAATATACCTATAATATTCAAAGATGTTTTGGAAATTCAACTGGACCAAGAATAAGATATGAAGGCCTCCTTTAACTAGAGAACAATCTACAGCAAAAAAAAAATTTTTTTAAGCAGTATTTGCTATTAGAGAATTGGGTATCTGGGAACCTCAAGTAGAAAAGAGAAGAGGAACTTGAGAAAATAGTCAGATGACAATTTATGATGGTATCTGGAAAATTAAAATCTCAAAAATCTTCTTTGGGGGTATTTTTGAACTGAGGTTGTGGGGGGAGAGGGGGAGGAAGAGGTATATGTGTGAAGAAGACTTTATGTCTTGGAGACTGTGCCAACACTGCCTGGTAGCAGAGTTAAAGCACAGTGAAAGAGCGAACCTGGGAGACAAAGGCTACAGGCAGGGTAGTACTGCTCAGCCTATACTTACACTGATGATTTGAACTCCCTGGATTTGTAATGTGCACAATTCGGATAATCTTTGGAGTGCTGAGTAAGCAGCCTCTAAAAATCAAAGCGACACTATCTGGCAAAAATTGATTTACATTTTAGATTCTCTATTACTTAAAAGCTTAACTATCACAAGAGTTCTTTAAAAATTCTTTTAAAAAATATTTTCTAGGTTTTCAAATCGGGATTTCTCCTCTCTTACCAGGCTGGGTTCTAGTCTCTGATTTTGCCACTGATTTTTAGTGTGAACTTGGACATATCATTTAATCCTGCCATGCCTCATCTTGTAAAAGGAAGATATCTAGATCAGATTGTGTTTGGAGATAATGTGAGATACTTTTTAAAAGGTTAAAGTATTACAGAAATATAAGGTATGATTATACTTACCAGAATAGTATTTTACTATAATTTATCATTATTACCCTGCTGCTCCTTTAATAAACTTAAAAACTACATACTGTACTTTAGAATTGTTGCTTTTTAAAAAAAATAAAACTTTAACAGCTGCTTAAAATATTCAGGATCTCAAAAATCAGTCTATTGAACCCTTGTTTAATATGTATACAGGTACAAAATTATAGTACTTAGCATTCTGGTCCTATTTTCAATCACCAAAGACATAATTTGGCTGCATAATTAAATAATGTGGGCTCATTCTTATGATTGAACGACCTCAATGCTGGACTTAATGTTAAAACCCTCTTGTTTCATGAGAAAGAAGACATTTTTTACCTTGGTAACCGTTAACATATAAAAATTAGTTATGCTGTTCTCATGGGCACGTTTGATTCGCAATCTGCATTCTTCTTCATCAATTAACTCACCAACATACTCATTTACGAATTCACCCTACCCAGAATAAAAAACACACAAAAAGTACATTATAGTGGTGCTCATAAAATACTCATGGCATCACTGAAAATCAAAAGACATAAAGAGCACCGAAATAATGAATAAAATGGAATAAACTTTAGTTTGCACAACTTTCAGTTGTGAATGGATTTCAATCTAGCTATTTTTCAAACATGTCCCTGGAGCGACTGAAGGATTTAGAGTCAGGAGTCATGGGTGTGAGGACAAGTATATTTACCAGCTATGTAAGTGATTATAAGCAAATCAATGAACCGCAGTTTCCTTAACTGTAAAATGGGCACGACAATACTGCAGAGAGTACATAGCTATTGGGATACAAGTGCTATAGAACGATGAGCTGCTGTTATTATTCATTATTCCAAAACTACAGGAGGTAACAAAGTGCTTCTCTTCCCCACCCAAAGTAATCATTCCTTTTTTACCAGACAAATACAGTGGGCACTGCTTTACAAAGGCACAACCAAAGAATTAAGTATTATATCAATTTCATAGGCAATTCACTGAAATTTTCAGCAAATAAAGCTAAGGTTTAGTTTAGGGGTAACATGACCTGTTTTATCTCCAAATAAATGAGAATACTAGTTCTTATAATCAACATAATCTTTCTTTCTCTTTTATGTTCACATTTATATGAGAAAAAAATCTGCCAACCATTCCATCTTAAAAACAACAAAAACATTATTTTTCAAGTATCTTCCCATAACCATGATCACATTTTTACCAGCCCCTTCCTTAATCCCTAGCATCAGAGTGTTTCTATAGCCAATGACAGTCTATAATACAGTTCATATTTCCTGGTTTTGGTAAAGTATTAACTTGCTAGAGTCCATTTAATTTAAACTATTAAAAAAAAAGAACCTCCACTACTGAGATAAATATTGGCATATTCCACATAACATCTTCCCCAACAAATCCTGCTGTTTTGATAACTGTCTTTGTCAAATGCTCAGCATCATGAGCAGCAGAAGCTACAGCATTTGTAAAGTGCTTTAAGGTTTGCAAAGCACTTTACAAACAATATCTCATTTTATCATTCTCTTAGGAGGCAGGTGCTATTATTATTATTCTTTCCATGTTACAGGTAAGGAAACTGAGGCAGAGAGAGGTTTAAGTGATTTGCCCAGGATCACACTGCTAGTGTTTGCGGCTGGATTTGAATTTAGATCTTCCTGACTCCAGGTCCAAACCTCGATGTGCTACACTACCAAACTGCCTCCATGTGCAGGACACACTAGTAGTCACTGATGAGTTGAGAGAAGTTAAATTTAGCCCATCTGAAAACAGTTGCTAGGCAGATGAAGGAATAGCTCTCTCACTCCTTTGGTCCTATAGATTCGGGAGAATTTCCATCCCTGTACAGCACAGGACTATAGATCCCGAGATCCCAATGGACTGTTTTCCCTCTGCCTACCTCCACCTGCTATGTCTTATCTTTCCACTCTCTTTTTGTTTTTGCTGTGGCAATCGGAGTTAAGTGACTTGCCCAAGGTCACACAGCTAGTACGTGTCTGAGGCCAGATTTGAACTCAGGTCCTCCTGACTCTAAGGCCAGAGCTCTATTCACTGCGCCACCTAGCTGCCCCTCCACTCTTTTTTTATTTAAAAATGTATTAGTTCAAATTTTGTACTTCTGTTTGTAATACTATACCTAATTAAACTATGTATATTGATGTTTTGCTTGATATTATGTTTTTGTAGAACCAGCTGATAACATTTGGCTAAGGAGGACTCTGGTAGAGACAGACATTGTACAGTGGAAAGTATGTTGGGTCTGGAGTCTGAAGACCTAGCTTGAAATCCAGGTTCTGCCAATTAATATCTATGTGCCTTTGGTATGTAACTTCACCTGTCCAGGCTTGTGTCTGTGTTGAATTGATGACTTCAAAGGCACCTTCTAGCTCCAAGTCCATGATGCTGTGTTACCAAAGAAAGCAATTTACACATTGGTAACAAAGGATATTGAGAACCACAGGGACTTAAAAGAAGTGTACCTTTCCCCTTGGAGTTGCTAGCAAAATGTGTGTGTGCCCTCTTGATCACAAACAGTTACTAATCTTTTTTTTTTTTTACTTTTACGCAATTGGGGTTAAGTGACTTGCCCAGGGTCACACAGCTAGTAAGTGTCAAGTGTTTGGTCTGAGGCCACATTTGAACTCAGGTCCTCCTGACTCCAGGGCCGGTGCTCTACCCACTGCGCCACCTAAACAGTTACTAATCTTGGGCAAGCTGGTAAAGGGCCATTTTAAAAACTGGCCTTTGGCTACTTTTTAAAACTAATTGTCTTTGATGAGCATCGTACAAGTGTTAGATGAGTGAATGACTCAGACTGGTTCTGTGTGTTTTCTTCCAACCCCCCAACTAGTTACAGATCATTTTTTCTATTGACAGTTTTCTGGAGTAGTAATGGCTGAAAAAATATTCATCACTAGTTAGCTAACTTTCTGGTGATGAGGCTCTTCACATTCAGCTACACTGGTCTTCAGATAAAAATAGTCTGTTCAATAACATTGCTTTGGGTATTAAGAATCAAATTAAGATTTGTAAAACCAACCATCTTTAATTCTCTTTCCTTTACAAATGGAAAGTATTTCAAGAGATAAAGAGAAAGACCAGCAACTTTCTATGCTATAACTGAAGTATCAATTACCAACTTCCCACTTCTCCTTCTTTGCCACTAAGACTTCAAAATATACATGATCTTTATATATGGATATTTTTCCCACCAATACGAATTAAAACTCCTTCACAACTTAGGAGCCGGTCTTAAAGACTTGGTCTGAGCAACCCTGTAGGGAATACATCTTCTTTGACTCCAGCCAAATGGGTCCTAGAAAGGCAGTCTGTCACCAGACTTGTACTTAAAACCTTTTCACTTTAGTAGAACCTGTCAGAGCTTGCACCCCATAAGCACATCTTCTGAGAACTCAGGATTGCTCACAAGCAAACCTCTTTGCCAGTCAAAGAGCAATTATTAAGTGTTCATTGTGTACCAAGAATGGGGTATGGATCTAGGGGGCGCTAAATCTGTAAACTAAGTAAATCTCAAAAACTTTATAAACTCCCAGCTTTTAACTCTGGATTAATTAGTTGATTCATTCTTGGTCTACCAAGACAGCCCAAGTTCATATCAATTCCAGTTACATGCATTTTATTCTAAATGAAGCCACCTTCTTGATGCTCCTCTTGGCCCTCAGGCCCCAGCCTCGTCTCTCTGTCTTGATGACTTCTGCATCAGGATAGAGTCTTTTGGTGAAGCACTGGTTCTGGCACCGGTCCCCAGCTGGGCACACTTGGGGGTGACACTCATATTGCAACATGCGGTTCAAGCACTCTGACTCCAGGCCACAGGGGTTTTCATCAGCAGGTTTGCAATTACAGCGAGGGATCTCAGACAGGTCAGCCACTTGGATCTGAACCTTCCCTATCACTTTGTTGGCCTGGCAAACAAAACCGAAAGTGAGAATCAATGGGTGGTCAAAGTGCTGGAAAAGAGATGATTTTAGGGCTGGTCTTATGTCTGCTACTGACTTGCTTTGTAACTCTGGGAAAGGCTCTTATTAAATCTTGAGCGCTCACTTATAAATCAAGGGTAACTTGTGTTCCTTCCTAGTTAAATGGAATTTTATGAGCTCAAACAAAATAATTTACATGAAAGTGCTTTCGGCTTTTTGGAACCAAGATGCTATATAAAAACAAGACAATGTTGTTACTATGTGAATGCAGGCTAACTGGTGAAGTGAGAAATTAGGTTTCACATATGATGTGTCACATTCTAGGTATCCTGGAAGGCTTTTGTATTTTCAAAGACTTAATCCTCATTACAATGGTCCATCAGTGCAGTTTGTGGCTCTCATTTGATGTTAAAAGGAGCAGAGAGAGTTGCCATTAAAGTGCTTAAAATTAACACATGAGACCAAGTGACAATTAGCAGAAATTGTCACAAGACAGAGTCCGTGTGATCACTATGAAAACAGTGTCTGTCTGGCAAGAAGTCAATTTGCTCAAGGGGAAACACTCACTTTAATGTGCTTGTAGGGTGGGGGTTTTCTTGAATTTCTTTCCAGCTCCAAGGCTTCTTTACTTTCTCTTTGTGCTTTCAGCTCTTGGAAACGTTTTGCAGCTTCCTCAAGTGCTGTACAATATCAAACAAAAAATGTACATAAACAGAAGGTGTTAAGTGGGGTTTTTACACTGTCCTTTCACTGCTTGGAGGCTAATTTTTTCCCCTTTCCTTTTTTTCCCCCTTAAAGATTAGACTCTGGAAATTTCCAAGTCATAATGAACAAAGGGTATACATACAAATTAGGAATGTGAGTCATGGACTATGTCTAAAGACTAGATGTCCAATACTTTGGATCACAGCTGATTTGAGTCCTACTTCAGTTAGCACATGATTCTCAGGGAGACCCAGGTTGTAAGAGTTAGACGGAAGAGCTCCACTGATAATTACTACTATTCCACTTAGTGTGAAGAGTTTCTTTTGAGAAATAGAACCAGGACCCCTTGGAAATGACCTTTGGAATATATGCTATTTTCTTTTTTTTTCTTTTTCTTTCTTTCTTTTTTTAACGCAACTGGGGTTAAGTGACTTGCCCAGGGTCACACAGCTAGTAAGTGTCAAGCGTTTGGTCTGAGGCCGGATTTGCGCACAGGTCCTCATGACTTCAGGGCCAGTGCTCTAACCACTGTACCACCTAGCTGCCCCGAATGTATACTATTGTCAACAGGGTATGGAGAAATAACAGAGAGCATAGGCTATTGCAATATGGTAAAATGGCATTCAAATGCATTTAAGATTCATGCTTGTGAAGGGCACTTCAATGTGTTTCTAACAAAATGACAAACTTAAGAAGGGAGGGAATATGATATTGTAAAAAAAAATTAGTTCTTGTTTGGTCCTGTTTATCTGTGTGTATACCTACACACATAATATATGTATGATATCAAACTCTTTACCAAAGATATCTGAAACAGTTGGTTTTTTTTTTTGCCAGCTGACTTCTTCCTTTTTCCCTGTGTTAATTTAATTAGTGCAAAATTTATTTAATGTAATTAAAATAATCTGGGTTTTTTGGGTAACTACATCTACCTCTTTGATTAAAGATTCATTCCTGACGCATAGCTGTAAAATGTATATTATCTGCTTTTCTTATAGTTTTTAATGATATATTTAATATTTAATAACACATAATATTCAGACAATGTATCCATTGTGAATTTATTATTTTGAACCTATTATTTGATACATTTTTCATAAAAGAATTCTTCATAATAGTGGTGTGAAGTGATGTGAACAAACAATTCTTATTAGCAACCACATGAAAGAATGTTCCAAAGCACTAATAAGAGAAATGGAAAATAACCCTGAAGTTTCACCTCACACCTCAAGAACCGGCAAAGATGACAAAAGAAGAGAATAATTAATTTTGGTGTGTTTGTGGAAAGATAGGCAAACTAACACATTGGTGGAGCTGTGAATTGGTACAACTATTCTGGAAAACAATTTGGAATCATGCAAATAAAGTAATTAAAATGTTCATAGGCTTTGACCCAGAGATTCCATTAGTAGGCTTATACACCAAGGAGGTTATTAACAAAAAGAGCTTTAAGTACAACAAAATATTGATAGTAGTACCTTGATGGTAGCAAAGAACTTGAAACAAAGTAGATGCTTATCAAATGGAAAACGGCTAAACAGACTGTGGTATAAATGACAAATACGATGAAAACAGAGAAGCACAGAAAGCCTTACATGAACTGATGCAAAGTAATGTAAGAAGAATCAGGAAAACAACATACAAAACAATGCCAACAAGCCCACAATGCACATGGAAAAGAAAAACCTTTATAACACAATAAAAAATGAGTCTTGTGAGATTATTTAAAAAAAAACAGCCAAGCATGATCTCAAAGAAGAGACACTGTAAGAGACACTACTGTCACGGGGAGGATACCTCCCCACAGTGTTCTGCATAGGCAGGGGGTCCACAGTGAGGAACACTGCATAAAATGTCAGGTTTTTTTCAGTGTGTTGATCATTTTTGTTGACTTCTTTCTCATTTTAATAATTTTTTATTATATATGACGGCTCTCTGAAAAGGGGGAAGAAAAATGATACAGGAAAATGTAGGCAATGTAAAAACAAAGATAACAGTTTTTACAATTCTGACTTCTAATGAGATTAATGTTACTGTTATGCAAATGAGGGGATGCTGGTTAGCACATCAACTCCTAGGGCCTCAGTTTTAAGCTATTGTAAATATTACCCAATTTACCTTTTTTGAAGGTCTTGTTAATACTAGTTTGCCCCTCAGCAAAGCTTTTGTCTCCTTCAACATATGGGAACACTCTGCCCTGGTGCACCCAATAGTAGTCATGAGAACCAAAGAAGAACACAGGGAAGTCCCCCAAGTCATGTTTAAGGCCTTGGATATTAAGAGGCACGGACCTGGGATTGCAGATCTCTGCTGGCCACCACCTAGAAACAAAATCCATTTTAGACAAAATACATGGGACATGAGAAGAGAAACCACATAATTATTACTTCAAGCTTGGTGGAAGAAAAAAGGGACAGGGATATGGACTGGACCTGTGATTTCATTAGTATAGGGAACTCCCAGATGAGGAAACTCCCTCTCCCAATGCAGGTCGGCACCTTCTCTGCAACTTAGAGTCTTAGAGAGTTGCCTAGAGCACTGAGAGGTTAAGTGACTTGCCGAGGGTCACACAGCCAGTATGTGTCAGAGGCGGGACTTGAACCCAGGTCTTCCTGGCTCCGAGGCCAGCTCTCTATCCACTACGCCACGCTGCCTCTCCTAGGGGGAAAAAAAAAGAAAAGTTATATAATTCATAAATGTTGTTTAGGTCCTAAAAGCATAAAAGGTTTTACTGGTCTTTAATCTTCCTTAAACTATGAAATTCTGTAAAACTGAACTGTATCATTTTTTATCATGAACAAGGAGAGGACACAGATTGAAAAGTTATTTCTTATATGTTCAGTATCATTTCAACTCCAGATAATAAGTCCGGCTTTCTCCTAGAAAAACAGTTTAACTACCTTGCTCCCTCACAACACAACTGAACATGACACATTCATGGATTCATTTTGAGAATAAGTTGCTGCCAGTGAAAGGTGTGGCAAGGCCAATTTCTTCAATAGTACTCTTCCTTCCAAGACATTTTCTGAATCTTCAGTCACTTGAGGACATACATCTTTTGGCCAAATGTGCAATGTTTTGCACTAAACTGTACTTCAGAATCTAATTCAACATTAAGTGGTCTCACTCATGGTTCTTCTTAAATCTCAACAAACTGGAGTCTGGAATAAAATAAAGGCAAAAATGCCTCATGCAACAAAAGACTGAGCACTCTAGCAACAATTAAACAAAATCACCTGTGAAGCATTTGACAGCTTCCAGCAACTAGAAAGTCAAGAAACAAATGGAAGAAGCTAAGGAAGTCCAACCTCAGGCTCTCTCATATGGCTACTTACATGAGATCATGAAAATCAACTGCAAACACACAAAACAATTTTTTGGGCATCTGTCTTCTTTATCTGGCCATGTGTTTAAAAAGCCTCGACCAAGTACCCTGGAGAACACTCTACTGAGCTGGTGACAAGGCTGCATTCCTCAACACACAGTGCAGAACCTGCATAGACATTCAATGACTACTTTGGAACTTCTCCTACTAGTTAAAAATTACAATTAAGAACGGGTGCCTAATTTAAGAAAATAATAGTTCATGAAGTCACTATTTAGTTTACCCTTGAAGCAGCTTGTGAAATGGATATTCTAGATACTTCTAAACATTTTCAGGAATATAACTATTTGCTAGGTTGCAAGAGTCACTAGGGACAGTCAGACTCCCAAGAGGAACTGGATCACTGATCTCTCAGGATTTGCCATATACCTCCCTTTTTATTCCCTAGGAGACTCCGGATTGGAATAACTTGCTTACTCACAACAAACAGCTTCATGTGGTCTAGTTGGGTCAGACTAGCAAAAAAAAAAATACATAAAGAGCTAGTTGAGGATGAAGTGTTGAAGTTTTCCCAAAACATACAAGAAGAATTTGCCTGGATAGAAAAACATATTGGCAATGATCCCGACCAGGAGGCAATGCCCCGAGTTTCCTTCAAAAGTTCTTTTTTTTTGGGGGGGGGTATTCTAAGTGCCTTATGATTGATCTCCACTGAACATCACATTTATGAGCTTTATAAAGCTAAGTAAGTTAGAAGATGGGCCTATAATTTAAGCAAATACAGGAAAAGAAATGAGCCTCATTAAAAATGACTTTATAATTATGTCTCAGTTAGTTTGAAAAAAAAATTGGAATTCTAGTATTCTCTTTTGCTTCCTACTTGATTTAGCTAAGTAATTTTTTTTAGGTAAATAATTTTTTAAAAAAGAAAAAAACAATTAGAATTGTGTCACTCTTGGTGAAATCTTAGTCATAAAATTTATCTTGTGATACTCTGCAATGGCCAAAGGCATTTAATCCTTTAACAAAATGATAAACATAGATCTTAAAAGCATGGCACAGTGAAAAGATCACTGGGACTGGAGCCAGAGAATATAGATTTAAATCCCAGACTTGTCATTTAATAATACCTGTGAGACCTTAGGTAAGTCATGTCATCCCTCTGGGCAGCAGTTTCTTCAACTGTAAATTGAAGCGTTTAGAACTTATGAACTTTAAGATTCCCTTCCAGCTCTAAATCTCGAATCCTATAGAGAGGTGCAATGTATCATGGGGTTTCAATTTATATGCTCTGGTTATTTATCAGTTCTGAAAAGCACATAAAGTCAGATTTTGGAGGGAGTCTTGTACAATAGAGGAAAATCCTACCTATTTCTCTCTTTCTCTTTAGAAAGACTAAAACTTTTTTTGGAAAGATACCTACGCTCATCAAATTCTAAATACTCTTCTTCACACACAACAAACCTCAACCTTTAGGGTCTCCAGTTAGAATTGATTTACATTTAGATTCAAGAGGGTTATGAACACAAACAGATTTTTATAAACAGTTCTCCTAACAGATCAGGAACTTCTTGACCTGGAAACAGCAGAAATCCCTATTCAGCAATAAAATGAAGTCCTCCCCTTTTCGCTTAACTGTCTCCATCCCTAAAACTAGCAAGAGAATTTACTTCAAAAAGGCAGCTCTCTTAGACCTTAAAAATAAAAAATTAAAATGCTGAATACAACTCATGTTTATGTTGTGTTTAGGAACTCTAATCAATAAATCTGGCCAGGTTAAAAATCTAAGTCTGAAAAGTGGCAGAATTTCTCTGCCCTTAGAAACTTGCCTGTAGTTTCCCAACTTGACCCAAACAATCTGCTTGTAATGGAGTTTCTTCCCAGCTTTACAGTCATTACAGTTCCAGCAGCCCTCTGGCATCTCTATGCTGAGACATTCCGGGTGGAAGGAAGCTGGGCACGATTCACAGCACAACAGTTTTCCACCTTGAAACAAAGAAACAGTCTTAATAACTGACAAAAGGAAAGAAGAACAATGAGGATTTTCTTTTAATTTCATTGTATTTGCCTTATGTTAGACAAAGTAAAGAAAGGGATCAGGTCACTGTCATATTAACGGTTCAAAAGAGAAAACAAGCAGGCCTGGGTACTGCAGTTCTTCCCCAGAACAGAGACTCTCTCTTTGCCACTAGGATTAGGAAGCAAAACCCATCAAAAATGATACATATTGCCTGCAATACCTAGGATTTAATGTGCCTGTTTAGCACCAAGCCAAACAGATGAAAATACAGCCAAATGGTAACAAAAAACATTCAGACTGGGCAAATTTGAGAAGTTTCTTTTTCGCTGTTCTAGCCTTCTTCTTATTTTCCCATTCTAAACCAGTACTATGGGTAACGGAATCCCTTCACAAAAAGTTAAGGGGTATGAAAAGTAGCCTCTTTGTTGCTTCACAGCCGTTTTCTGCTTCCATTTTTTAAAACACAAAAAATCAAAAAGGAGGCTATCTTCCTCAAATTTGTGATGGCAACACTGTTCTTTTTTTGTTGTTGTTGCTGACAGTGAAGAAGGTCACCCATTTTTTTAAGAGTACAAATATACTGAAAAACAATGTGGAATGAAGTGGTAACAGAAGGAATTGTCTCTCACCTACTGCCAGTCAGAAGACCCCTGTAAGGGCACAAAATTTTCTTAGGGTGAAAAACAAACCAAGTGTAATAAATGAAATCTGAAATAAAAATGATTTGCTTTTTTTGGTTTGTATATTCTTATATGCCTTCAAAGTGGACACTGATGGAAAGGTAAATAAATTTCACCTTCAATGGATGAACAAAAACTCATACTGTAATTGCATTTATGACAACATTTATTGAACACTATTATCCATTGAGTTATAGTGGGACCCTGAGTCCCACTGTGGAAAATCTAGGCAAGCTATGAAACAGCTTTAAAAAAAATCATATCATCCAACCTTTTGAATATTCTCATCCTCCTTTTAACTGATAACATAAGTTATTTACTATATTTCCTCTGCTAAAAGCCTCACACCCAATTATCTGGTATTTTCTACCTTTACTTCCAACTTGAACAATCAGCTCATTCTCCAGTTCTGGAAACTGTAAACTGGAGTGTTATCACTAAAGTAGGGAATCCCTCTATGTTTTACACAGAAACAGTAGCATTCAAATCTTCCTTCCTCCCTCCAACAGACAGAGCCAATCACGACTTGTCTTTGATACTCTGGATGAGAGAATCAAGCTGACTATTTAAAAATTTAATCTTTCTTTCAGAGGAAATACAGACCTAGCATAATTATTGAAAATCACCATAATAAGATGCCAATACATGAGAAAAACAAAACAAAAAGAAAAAACACAAAAAAGACCATCTCTGTGCTAAACAAGAAAAGTTTCCTTATGATTTATTAGTAATAAACTATCCAACTAAGCAAACACAGGGCTCAAAATAATTTTTATTTATGTCAGGATTAGTATTGAAAACAAAGTAAGCAGAAATTGTAATCTTCTAATTTTAGAGAAACATCAATCGGGATACCATCTCCCCAAATGCTTCAGACTGTCTAAGGGGAAAGAGAGGGAGAGGTAGCAGTACACATCTTGTTAACAAAGTAGTGTGCACATCTATGTCCTGGGTTTCATTGAAAGTAACTTCACTAAACAAGGTACAAACTGACTTAGGAAAAAAATTCCACAAACAATTCCAAAGTAATTCTTCACAGCTCCCAAAGTACTCTCCTCTTCAAAATACAGAGTGATCATTTTGCATGTCACATTTCCTTTTAGTGATGCTTTATCACTTCATTTTGAAATGGGGCAAGCTAAGGTATTCTCTGGGTTTTTTGTTTTGTTTTTAATGGGGGGCTGGCAAGAGCAACTGATGATAATGGAAATAAGCATAGCTAGAGGCAATCTATTTACCTATTGAATTAATTTGTTTTAGAATTGACAGTTGAAATACCAACTTCCCACAGAAATACCATTGCTAAATTTTCTTCCTCTTTCATTAGATGTAGGATAAATTAAAGAGTAAGACTTCATTTCTCAGATTAACTCAACTGAAAGAATATAAAAAGTCAACTGACTCCAGCTTATCCATGGATGATTTATCCATAACCAACTGTTTATATTCCAGGTGGGCTCCCCCTTTCATACCCAACCTATTTCTGGGCTGTTTTCCCCATGTGCTCAGGAAAGGTCAGTTTATTTTAACGTTAGAGAAGCAGCAAGAATAGTAAAAAGACTGGCTATGAATTCAGAGGATCTGTGTTCTAATCCCAGCCTGGCCACTTACCACCTATATAACCTATGGCAAATCATTTGACCTATAAGAGTATCAGTTTCTTTATCTGCAAAATGAATAGGTTGGACTAGAAGACCCTTCTAACCCTAAACCTAAGATCCTAATATCAGCCTAAGGAAAACAAATTTCATTATCAGTATTTATGATCAGTGGTATGGGTTTATCTATGTATTAATTAAGTCAGGAGTTGCAATAAATATTTCAAAATGTATTCACCTTCCTTTAACATAAACAGAAGTTTTATATGCACAGAAGGGAAAGGTAGCAGCCTCAGGATGACATTCTACATTAAGTAAACTTCTAGCTTAACAAATTGAACCTACTGGTAAGTGAGGCAGTATATCAAAAAACTGACTCTCAGGAAGAAGAACGGATAGAAATTTGTACGGATGCAATTATTTTAAGCCCTTTTTTAATAACTTCTGCCAGTCATATGAATACACACTCACAACAACCAAGGCAAAATTTACCAAAAACAACAGATGAAGCTTGACAGGCATACATTTTTCCTTTATTTAAAGAAAAAAGATAGAAAAAGCAAAAATAAAAGAAGAGAGAAACTATTTTAATTATTACCTTTCTCACATTTCTTTTTGGAAGCTGACGAAGAAGGAATCATAGGTAATTTCAACTCAGCACGATTTGATTCATTCAGTAGGTAGTGGGACTTATAGGCATATGAACTGAACATGGGGTCTGAATGATCCTGAACTATCAGCCCTATACGAAACAAACAGAAAGAGATGAGTTGCAATGAAACTACCCATGATTCCATAAGGAAAAAATAAAATAAATCAATACCTATTATGCAACTATGTTTTAAAGTTTGAAAGAAAAGATAATATGAAGAAAAAGAAAGATCTGACAGAAAAATTTCTATTGCTACTAATGGGAGTTTGAATGACTTACTGCTTCTACTTTAAGTAGAAGCCTATATACAAAAAGAGAAAATAAAGACCCAGATGACCAATACTTAGTTTTGAAGAGCTGAACTACATTTAAAAGACACAATGAAACTAGTTACTGTCCTTTAGAACAGCCACATTTCTTAATTTTTATGACTTCATTTAAAATACTACCATAACTCATAATTTAACCAAAACAGACCACTTTTTAAGCCCTTAATTCAAAAATTGAAAATAAGAATTTTTTTTAACAGAATAGGCCCAAGAAATAACTGAACTTATTCTTTTCCAGATTGTCCAAGTAAGAATCCTGTCTACCCAGTGAGAAATCTTTAGTCAAAATCTTAACACCTTTTCCTCATTCACAACCCTGCTCTCTATTAAAATTGCATATGATTAAGAAGCCATGAACAACTGTTGTAAGGTGACAGAAACCTATTTCACTATTTCCCATTGTCAAGCGTGTATCAGCTCTCTCTCGAATGTGAATCTATCAGTTCAAGGGAAGGCATCTAGGCCCACAGCGTAATCTTCAAATTTATTACAGGAATAATTTCTTAGTAGATGACACAACAAATTCTGTAAGCCTTAAAAAAACCAAACAATGGTTAAGTTCATTCTCTCTCTTCTCTCTCTAAAATATTCTACTCCTAAAACTATCGCTATCTAGCCTGTAATCAGAAAGGATTTCTGCTTACCTTGGCTACTGGCTGCTTAACAGAGATCTAAAATCATATAACAAAATCATAGATGCCATTTATTTTACATAGCCTTGGTGATGATGATGGATTTTGCTTTACCAACTGTGGTTAATGGGGGTCACATACTTCAAAATTACATTCTCTGTCTTGGGGGATTGGATTGTCATCATCTTCACCAGCCTTGCATTATGACAGATCAGAGCATTTCACCTGCTCAGATGCCTGAAACTGAACTCAAAATAGTCACTAACACATGATCCTCAAAATTATGTAACATCGTGACAATTTTCATGAACTTAATAATGCAAAGAACCTAAACCTCCCCAATGTCACTACTGTCATTACTAAAAATATAACAACGAAATTTTAAGCATGGGCTATCCTGTTAGCAAAAGGTAGATGCTGAGAAACAAATTTTGTCTTAGCATATAAAAATATGATTATCTAACCAGCTGAGGCATGATTCTTTGCCAAAAATCAATGGAGAGATAAAGAAGTCTCTACATATTGAATAAGATCCTAAGTCCCTCCCCATCCCTCTAAAAACTACATGGAATTCCTTGGATGTGGGACATGAAGAAATCAGAGTCCTGGTTTTTAAACATTCTAAACAGTTTAACAGGACTTTGAACTATAAAAAGAAAACTTACTGAAAGAAAACAAAGTAAAGGAGGCAGCAGAATGGGCACTGGAGGAGGAGCCAGGTGACCCAGGCTCTAGTTTCTTGTTGGCTCCTCCCTTTTGTGTGACCTTCTACAAGCCAGGCTAAACTCAACTATGTTCTTATCTATATGAACTAAGGGGTTCATTAGATAACCTCCAAGGTCTTTCCCAGACCTAAAAAGTCTGTCGTTTCATGTTGTTTCCTAGTGTCAGTATTTAAACACTGCTATTTAGTCAAATGTAAATCTCTTTAAAATGATGACTTTAATGTATCAATGCTGAGAGAAAAATGACATTTTCACCTCCGAAAGCTTCTCGTGCTTCATTTTGCTGTCACTACAAAAATCCTTTCCCAATCTCAACTCCCAATAGTTAACTTGGTAAGAACAATGTCTGCCAAATAATGGATGGGAAGTTAAAGGCTTTTTCCTGTATAATGCACAAAATGTAGAAGCTATAGTGTTTAAATTATAAACTAAATTTTTATTCAATATGAATAAAAGTAAAATTTTCACAATTTACCTACACTTGATAGCCATATTGAGTAACTGAATAATAGGCCCTAATACAACAACACATATTTAAGTTTTCTTACTTTCACTTGGTTTACTATCTCTGCCTTTATTTCTTTATCTGTAAAGTGGGGAGCCATCTACCCATAGAGAGGGTGTGAAAAAGTCAAAACAACAAATTTTGCAAAACAAAATGCTAAGCACTATGTTAGCTTCTTTATGATGAAAACATAAAAGATGCAAACATGCCTTGGCTCTAGGAGGTTACCTTCATATTTCCCATAAATATGCTGTCATTGTGATTAGTCAGACTTAACTGAGTAATCTAATCTGTATAAAATACAAAAGCCCAAAATATAATACTTTACACTAAATGACTATAAAGAGTCCTAAACTCTTTCCAAATTGTCCCCACGCCCTTAAATTTGCTATGCCTGAAAACTATTTCAAAGTAAATGATGGCCCTCTACCAATTATCACATAAAATGTCCAGGAACAAGTTTTAGCTAATATACCAGAGTACAAAAGTACCAATACAAAATAGGCCCCCAAAATAAAACAACATAGCAGTTACAAACTTTAGCTGCAAAATGTCTGATGTAGATATATTGGGGTAGAGGCTCATGCACTGTCAGTTAAATTAAGTCGCTGGGAATGCTGATCTTTCAGGATATCCTCCAGAAAGCAGTAAATAGATTCACTATGGGAGATAATGAAATTTTATCACTGCCACAAATCTGTTGCTTTAAAATTCTCCAAAGCTAAGCATTTTATAATAAGTTATTTTCTTGTGAGGTTCACTGAGTGGAGAGGGGGAGGGTAGGAAAAAAAACAAGAACATATTTTTGTGCTTATCTATTTGTTCTGCCAGATCAAAAAAATTTTTTAATGCTACAATATGGGTCAAATACAATCTTAGTACAAACTTTTAGTGCATAGTCTTTGTTCCGCTAAGCAATGTCGTGCTGTAATATCCACCTGTCCTTGAAGTAGTAAAGTAGCACACTATGTTTCTTCTTCTAATGGTGGGCACATTGTAGCCCACATACTTTCATGAGAGTCACACAGCTCTGCCACATTAAGAAGACAGTGTACAAGGGAACTGAATTTGCTACTATATAAATGGCAAAAAGAATAACTCTGGACACAGTATGTAATTTCTACTAGTTATGGATGACCTTTCCTAAGCTGTTTAGAGCAAAGATAACCACAAAAGCAAACCTGACTAGAGTCCTCATCCCACGATAACATGCGCGCGCGCACACGCGCACACACACACACACACACACACATTTTGGCAAAAGTGACTTTTTTTTTCTGTTGTAGGTTAGAGGTGACAGTGTAGTAATACAGTGCAAAGGACATCGGATTTAGATCACTAGCTCTGCTACTTACTGTCTGTGTGACTCTAGGCAAGTTACTTACTTTTCCTAGGCCTCAGTTTCCTCATCTATGAAATGAGGTTAGATCTGATGACTTCTACTCTAAGTCTAGATCTATAAGCCTATGAGCTGATCTAGATTCAGGAAGACCTGAGTTCAAGTTCCTCCTGATACATATTACATGACCCAAGCAAGTTATTTAACCTCTTAAAATCTCAAACGCTCTAAGCTGTAGAGCAGATGTACATCTGCACTGACAGAAGGAATTTCCTAACCAGGACTTCCCAACACCACTGAAATCACAGGTCTGGTAGAAAACAAAACAACATACATTAACCAAAATAAAAGATCACCTTGGTGCAAAAAAGAAAAGTATTAACTTTCTATAAGTTTCTAAGAGAGTAACAGGTCTGACAAGAGTTAAAACCTTCACATATACTTCATTAACTAAGGAAAGTTAAGGAAAAAACAAAGGGTCACCTGGCATCAAAAAATTTCTCTGGACAATTAGCATTTGTTGATTCCTAAAGTATCTATTCTTTACAAATATTATATAGTATAACAAATATTGCAGCTGGATGCCCCCCGTACCATAACCAACTGAAAACGGTCAAATTCACCACCTAGAAGATGATGCATTGCTTCCGAGTTAATAAAAAGGGCAATATAACCTCTTGGCATATTTAGACTGAAATAGCTGAAAACTGAGAAAGCTTGCAGTGCTAGATCTTAACTAGTACCACATTTGCTGCGTTGTCTATGTTCCATAAGGCCTCAATGATGGACCAAAACAATACAATGAAACAATACAAATAACTGAAAACAAATTTACTAGTCTTGTCTTCCAAATGAAAATTTTATAACCATAGGGCTCTAGGTAAAAAGAAACTTACTATCTGAAGGGCTACCAGGTAGACAAGGAATTAGTTTTTTTTTAATTGCCCTACAGGAAAGAACTTAGACCAATTAAAATTTCAGCTCAGTGTACTCAAGAGCTTTCTAACAATGTGGCTAGCCCAAAACTGGAATCTCCAGCTTCATGAGGCAGAGAGTTCCTATTATAGGAAATGACGGTCTGGATCACCATGTGTCAGAGATATTATGCAAAAGGAATTCTTGCATAATTTATGAGGTTAGCCTGAATGATCTCTATGGTCACTTGCAACTCAAAGAGATGATTTTAAAAGACACATATACCAGTAGCATCAACTGAGAAAGAAAAGTAACCATATTAGTGCTCACCTCTTGCACAAACGAAACAAAAGCCTACATTTACAGTGGAGGAAGAATGACTGCTCCTCTTGGAATGATTACTACAGATGAGAACATAGGAGGACACAAACAGGCTTCCTGCAGCTACGCAGCCATCTCCTGAATGATAGGCAATTGGGCATCTTAAACATCTCATCATGCGACCTGATTAAAAAAGGAATACAAAGAGGGAAAAATTTTATGAGACAACTTGGATGATAAGGCTCCTGTGAAGTAATTTACCTAGTCTAACCACAGAATTTTTGCTAAATTCAGATAAAAAAAATAGCTGTTTTTATTAGCCTGTCCGTAAAGTATACCAATTAATTCTGTGAAACATACACAGTACAGGTACCTCCAGTATGAACAATTCTATGTGTGGATAAACTAAAAAATATGGAAAACTGAAAAGAAGAGGACTCATAATGTAAAAGTAGACACTTGTATGAGCAGCCAAGTCTCACATATTTTGGCTGTTTTGACATGTTTTTGCTTTATTGACTTTTTCAAAACATGTCTTTAGAATGTTATGACAACTTTGATAACAAGAATGCATTCTAGAATCTGTGATGAAATTAAATTTCTTTACAGATGTAAGAGGGTCATAAAACAGTTTGCTGCTTGTTATATGAGTTAATAAAAGGGCAGACGAACAGAAAAAAGAATTACTAGGAATCTTTCCCTACTGAACTTTTCCTAAGGTCTGAATGTAGTACTCCTTAGGCAAATGGAATGTTCTAAGTCTTAACCAATCATTTTATGAAAACTGCTGCAGGACATAATTGCTTTTGAAACTGAAGATACAGCCTATGGAAAGTAAATTGAAAGTGACCAACAAGGAGCAATCCTTTGGGAAAGGGACTTTTTACTCTAACCAAATGGTCATAGGGCTGGGGTAAGATAACAATCATTTCATCTGAAAATCAAATCAGTGTTCCTGATCCCCATGAAGCAAGGGAAGAGTTGTTATGCAAAGAGCTCCACTACTACCTGAATTTTATTGTATAATCCACAGGGTAGGTGCTACAGGTAGAAATTAAGCCTAAGCCAGAAGACATCCCCAGTTTACCACCTCATTGCTAGAGCTGTGTGTTTGGCAAGAAGTAGTAGTTACCAATGCCAAACTAGGCAGGGAACTCTTGAGCTTCTCTTGTTAGTATTTACAGAAAAAAAAGGAAGTTCTGTGGGCACCCTGAATGATAGAGGAAGACACTCCCTTTTCAGAAGTGATGTATGTGGAGAACAGGAACATTATGGGAATGACATAGCAGAAGCATATTCTATCAGATTTATGGTTTCCAATGTCACTCAAATGAAACTGCTCTCTCCAATGTTCCAATGATTTCTTAATTGCCAAATCTGATGGCCTTTTCTCAATTCTTCACCCTTCTTCAATTCTCTACAGCATCTGACACTCTATACTCTCTCTTGACCTGGTTGTTATGGCACTATTGTCTCTTGGTTATCCTCTAATCTCTCTCTCTTTCTTCCTCCTTTCCCTCCCTCCCCGTAAATTATCATGGGTTTGTCATCTGTAGGCATATGACTTCCAGATCTACACATTTTACTCTAGTTTTCCTCTTGAGCTCCAGTCTCACATCTCTAACTGCCTGCTATTTATCTCCACATGGATGTCTCATCAGCCTTTTAAATTCAACATGTCCAACACAGAACTTACTATTTCCCCCCCAAACTCAATCCTCTTCTGAACTTCTCTATTGCTATCAAGGACACTATCATTCCCCAAGTCAGTTTTACAATCTTATGTCATCCTCAACTTTTCCCTCCCTTGTTTCATGTATCCAGTCAGTTGCCAAATCTCACCATTTCTAACTCCACTAAATTTCTATCCTTTCCCTTCTCTTTACTTATATAAAGCTACTACCCTATTTCAGACCTCATGGCCTCTTGCATGGGCTATTATAACAGCTTCTTAATTGACCTAACTGCCACAACTCTTTCCTCTACAATCTATTCTATATAGAATTGCCTAAGTGTTTTCCCTCAAAGCTCAGGTCTGACCATGTCACATCTCTACCCAATAAAAACAGTGGTTCTCTGTTACATCCAAGTAGGATCACTAGAAGCAAACAGGCTCCCCCTACTTCCCAGCTCTTCTCTATATTATACTCCTCAGTCTTCAATCCATCCCAATCTGCCTGCTTGCTCATGCTCACACACAACACTCCCATCTATATTTCCATGCCTTTGCAATGGCTGTTCCCCATGTCTGCAACACTTCATCTCTACCTCTTATTAACCTTTAATTCCTTTGAGACGCAGCTCAAGCAAAACTTCTATGTGAAACCTCTAATGATGTTCCCAGTTCCTAGTTCCTCCCTTCAAAGTTACCTTGTGCTGACTTTGTATACACTTATATAGATACATGTTTGTCTCTCATGATAGATAGTAAGCTCTTTGAGGCTCCGCAATGCTCAGCACAGTACATGGTGCTTAAAAGGTACTTAATAAATACCTACTGATTACGCAAAATAAGCAGGACTTTAAAAGCACAAAAGGATTTCCCAAATACGAACTCTACACCCCAAATATAACCTATGTCCTCTGTGGCACAGATAACAGAGGGTTATACAAAGAGATGGGTACTGAACTCATGTATATAGTCTGTGTTTACAGGTTCTCGTTTCCATTAACTTTGCTTCACCTTTGCTTGCTTTGTGGATATCTTTCTCCATGGAACAAGTAGAGCAGCAGTGCTGAGGACAGCGGAATCCTCTAGACTCAAAGACAGTAGTAGCAAATTTTCGAACACAGGTCTCATGGTAAAATTTACCACAGGCAGTGACAGAACAACGCTTCACATCTTTACCAGGAACCTTACAAGAGAAGCAAGTATGGTGCCCTAGAAAATACCCAAAGAGGCAAGGTTTATGTTATATTCCATTTAAACAAATAACATTACAAAGAAGGGGCTGTATGTTTAAAAAAACCAAAAAACAAATTATTTCCACACATCTGGTAGATGCTCATAATAACAATATTTTGTGGACTTGCATCATAATGAATTCTCTAGAATAATCCTGTACTACAATTCCTTCTGGTTGTGCAATGGTTGTTTTCTAACATGAATATTGTCTTGACAGTATTTTTTGCAAGAAGAAGGCAAGAGAGAAAAATCTGTGCTTTTCACCTTTTTTTGTTTTACCAACCAGCTTTACTGACATTCCCTCCTCTGTCCCCAGTGAATACATACCTCTCAAATAGTCAACCACTGAAACAATCCAACAGAGATACACACCAAAATTTCCCAATCCCTATCAAAATAAACTACCACATAACAATCTAGGTACATAATTGAAGAAAAAAGGGTGGGGAGGGGATGTGCTTAGCATACCACTTTGTCTTCCAATTCCAAACTGAATTACTCCTGGTTCCCATTCTGCACTCTCTCTCTCTCTCTCCATACCTTTTGCTCATGCAGTCCCCTGTACCTGGAATAAACTTCTCACTCTGCCATTACCTAGCCTGTTGAAAGTCTTCCCTTTTTATTCCTCTTATAAAGTTTTCCCTGTACACTCCTCCCTTCCCCTGCTCACCAGCTTCCCATCGCCCAACTTATCTCTCTCTCAAATTTCTTGTGGAACTCTGCCTAGATGTCACCTTTGTACCTAACACATTCTCCTTTATGCTGTGTTTATTTATGTTTGTGTATTTTCTTCCTTATTAGCTTGTAAACTTTTAAAAGAGAGCATAATCTGTATCATACTTATCTGCCTTTCTATGGTGTCTAGCTGAGCACCTTATACATAGGTGCTTAATGTCTTTATTGTTTATAATGATTTTTTGATCTTCACTTGGTTTTGTTGCATTTACTTGCACTGTCGACTGTGCAAGATACAAAATATACGAAGTTATCTGTAAAATGAGGTTAAGACTTGATGATGTTTAAGGTCTTTTTGAGATCTCAAGGTACAGGACATAGTTTATTCCCATAAATATCTCACAATGAAATTCAAGAGACAAAGCTTACACACAAAATCTACAATTCAGATGAGGTAGGAATTCCGCTGCCAGCCTCAAAACTGCCATTTATCACAAATCCAGGATTGTCACTCAGATGTGAGGGTGGGATGGCGAGTGTCTGACTGAGTTCAATGGGCTTCATCAATAAGAAGTCACATCATCTACCCTGTTGAGGAGCCCTTTGAATCACTGGGCCTTATCATCTATCCTATCACTGGGTCTTTCAGCCCACGGTACCTTACCATCTGCTCACCATCACATTCTAAAGAAAACTGGGCCTTTCTATCTGTACTGCAACTGAACCCTCATATGTATTTAAAAAAAAATTCTACGCATGTCGAAGCATATTATTTGCTCTTTTTTCTTTCTTCTGTTTTGTTTTGTTTCTTCTTTCTCATGGTTCCTCCTATTGGTTCTAATTCTTCTTTACAACATGTCTAATGTGAAAATATGTTTAACAGGAACATATATGTAGAGCTTCTATCAGATCGCACTTCTAGGGGAAAGAGGGGGACAAAATTTAAAACTCAAAAGCTTATGGAAGTGAATGTTGAAAACTAAAAATAAAAAAAAAAAAGAAATTCTACAAGCCTATTGCAAATGAAAAATCTTCCCTGAAATCACCACTGAATGAAACAATGGTTTTTCCTGTCTTCTTTGTTGATAAAATCATTAGCATACCCTAGAGGATATGTTGTCTCAAGATCACACTATGCCTTTTTTTTTGGTTGGGCTAGGCAATGGCGTTAAGTGACTTGCCCCTCTAGGATCACACAGCTAGTAAGTGTTAAGTGTCTTGAGGCCACATTTGAACTCAGGCCCTCCTGAACCCTGGGCCGGTGCTCTATCCACTGAGCCTCCTAGCTGCCCCACCACACCATGCTTCTTGAGCATGTAGAATATCTGGCTTTCCTATGTCACTCTATTATTTAGCAGTGTTTGACACACAGCTCTAAATAAATTATTTTTCATTTTTTAACCTTTTTTTAATAGGATGAATGAAAGGGTAAATCAGGGTAATGTTAGTTAATCTAGATTTTATTAACACATTTGTTGGCGGCCCTTGTGCAATTTTGGTGGAAAACATGGATAGGGGCTAAATAACAGTATTCAGGTAGACTTGGAAGTGGTTTAATTGCTGGATCCAGCAATTAAATACATTGAATTATTAATTAAATTAAATAAATAAATTCAATAAAGTTCAGTGGAGTTATTAATAGTTTGATGTCAACTTGGGAGTGCCCAGGGACCTGTATTTTGTCCTATGCTATTTAATATCTTTGTCAATGATCTACATAAAAGCCACGTTGGATGAGCTACTGGGAACTACTCTGGGAGCTACTCCAAGACCTTCTGTTGGAGGTGGGCACTCAGGGGATTCACCTCATCATTTTCCAACCATGTGACCTCCTCAATTTCATGATCTCCAGAAACTCATCATTCTGTAAAATGAAATCAACTCTACCAAATCTCTTCACACCTTCCTCACCCCCACGCCAGCTTGCTTTTCAACTTCTTTTAAAGTGTTGTCTTCCTCCATTAGATTATGAGCTTCTTGAGGACAGAGGTGAATGTCTTCCTTTGTATCCCCAGTGCTTAGCATAGTGTCTGATACACAGTAAGAGCTTAATAAATATTTATTGACTACTGACCTCCTGTGGGGAATTTTTTGGAGGACATGAACCAGAGTTACACAAGTTAGGCAGGCACAAATGTGATCTGTAGTCTGTAATCTGCATTGCTCGTGGGGGCTCCTGAATTTATGAGATCACAGAATTATTTGTATATTTTAGATAAAAGCAAAGGTGCAAATAGCCAACAAGAAAAAAAATGGAGACATGATGGACGGATGACAGAGTAAAACACTGGATAGAATCAAGTAAGAATTAATTCAACAGAGATAAATAAAGTCTTAAACTAGGTTTAAGAAAAATAAATTTCTGCCCTGGAGTCAGGAGGACTTGAGTCCAAATGCAGCCTCAGACACTTGATATCTACTAGCTGTGTGACCTTGGGCAAGTCACTTAACCCCATTGCCTAGCTTCCCCCCCCCCCATCAACTTCATTAATGCACACAAAAGAGGCAAGAAAAAGCTTTTACAAGGGAGGAGAAAAGAGGGAGTGACTGAACCTTACTCTCATCATAATTGGCTCAAAGAGAGAATAGCATACACACTCAATTGGGTTATAGAAATCTGTTTTACCCTACAGGAAAGAAGGGGGGGAAGGGGATAAGAGATGGGGAGGGGGTGATAGAAGGGAGGGCAGACTGGAGAAGGGGGTAGTCAGAAGCAAAACACTTTTAAGGAGAGGCAGTGTAAAAAGGACAGAGAAAATACAATAAACAGGAGGGGGAATAGGATGGAGGGAAATACAATTAGTCTTTCACAACATGACTATTATGGAAGAGTTTTGCATGACTACACATGTTTAACCTATATTGAATTGCTTGCCTTCTCGATGAGAGGGGGAGGAGGGAGGAAGGGAGAATTTGGAACTCAAAAGTTTTAAAAATGAATGTTAAAATTGTTTTTACATATAACTGGGAAAAAACAAAATACTAAAAAAAAGAAAAGAATAATCAACTTCATGATAACAAGATGAGGGAGCTGAGATTATAAGTCTGAAAATTAACAGGGCATTTTTGTGGAACTTCAATGAGTCAACAGTGGGATACAACTGCTCAGAAAACGTACATCATCTTGGGCTATGTTATGGGATGTACAGTGCCCGTGAGTAAGGAGATGAGTATCCCACTGTATTCTGCCCTGATCAGATATGCAGAGTACTGTGGCTCAGCTAGGGGAGATATGTTTTGGGAAGTGCAGCGCCAAGCTGGGATGCATCTAGAAGAAGGCAGCCAGAAGGATGAGAGGGCTGTAGACTGTGCTATGTGAGGATCGGGGGCCCGGGAAGGACTGGACATGATAACTGTCTCTGAGATGGGTGAAGCTTCAGACTTGGCCATGGACCCAGAAGGAAGCACTAGGAGCAATGGGCAGCAAAGAGGTAACTTTAGGTTAGAAGTAAGGCAAAAGTTCCTTCTAACAATTAGGGCTATCTAAGAGTACTATGGGAGGGAGCAGGCTCCAGGTTCCCTCCTGACCAGAGGTGTTTTTTTTTCTGTTTGTTTGTTTGTTTTTGGTAGGCAACGGGGTTAAGTGACTTGCCCAGGGTCACACAGCTAGTAGATATCAAGTATCTGAGGCTAGATTTGAACTCAGGTCCTCCTGACTTCTGGGCTGGTGTTCACTGTACCACCTAGCTGCCCCTGACCAGAGGTTTTAAATTAATGGCTTGAAAACTATTTTATAAAGGAGATTTCTTGTTCTGGTTGACCTCTGAGGTCTCTTCTATTCCCAAGATTTTCTAAATCTTGTAAGTTTGATAAAGTCCAACGTTAGAAGAGGATATGCAAGGATATGCAAAGCTTAAGGACCATCTAGTAAAATGAGGTTTAAGAATCAGGAAAACAATATACTTCCTAACTGCCACAATGTATATAGAAAGAACAAGAAAATCAAAGTGAACTCTTTTTAATTATAATCATCAAGCTTGGTTTCAGAGAAGAGTTGAGTACCTCTTCCCCTCCTTACAGAGGTGGGCGATCACGAGTACAGAATGTGGCTTTTACTGCTAGACACAAAGGATAATGTGGTTGGTTTTGCTGAGCTGCCTTTTCTCTCATTTTAAATATAATTTTCTTTTTTTTAAACAAACGGTACTTTGCTAGTTAGGGAGGGGGCACGACATATTTGGGAACAAAGGTGATTTAAAAACAAAAGACATCAATAAAAATATTATTTTTTTAAAGTATGAGATTAAGTCATGTATAACTTATCTTTCTACTGTATTATAAGATCTTGAGGTAAATTAAACTTGTCTGTATTCCACACAGTTCTAAGCACATAGTAGTTATTCTTTCTTTCTCTATCTCTATGTGTATATATAATTATGCTTTAAGAAAAACCCTATAAGCTTACTCTAAATACTAAATTTAGGAGAACCAAGTAGTTAAGGTAAACTTAAGTGAAGAATTTAAACAGATGTAAATTTTTTCCAAATTTCAAATATGCAGAAATGTGTACAGGGTGAATTTCTTCCTTTTTCTTCAGACACTCACATACAAGAAGTTAGGGGTGACACCAAGCCAAGTAAAAAACACTTTAGCTTTATGTAGTTCTACTAAGCAAGAATTTATCACCACCATCACATTATTTGTGAACTCTCAATCCATCAATTCTATTTACAGGACCTAAATTTATTTCATATGACTCCACTTCATATTTCATATAATTCATACTATTTCATATTACATGCTAGTAGGAGTAACAAAGCTTAGATACTTGTTACAACCTCTGTCCAGCAAATTTAGGACATTACATATTAAGAAAAATATAATGGGAATCATGAAATTGACAATGCAATACGTCAAAGTGAAATGTGGTCACTGGGACTTAATATGGTGACATTTTTTCTTTGACCTGTCAGGAAGGACGTTGCAAATATACCACCAATAAGACTGGTAGACATCACGAAAAGTACTAAGATTTCCTATCCTTACTTTCTCCACAAAAAATAAGTAAATTTACCAGTTTTACATTCGGTGCAGAGGAACCTTCCATTAGGGAGAGATGACAGTCCCAGGCAATCTAGATGAAAGTGTTTACAGCATTCCCCGTCACAAACAACCAGAGAGTCACCATAGCCTTCACAGATCTAGAATATAGTAAACAGAAACATTATAAATTAGTATTTCTCAACCAGTGGTTCATAGGAAATTTTTGCTACTTGGGGGGAACTCTTACTTCCAATAGGTCATTTTTTAGAATCAACAGATTGTGTGACAGAATCTTGGAAAACATCTAGTCCAAATACGGCAGCTTTACAGGTAGAAAAGCTGAGCTACAGGGAGGTAAAATATTTTTCCCATCGTCATGGACAGAAGAGACAGAAGCAAGCTGTAAACCTTGCACCTCTGACTCTGAAAAAAGTCTTCTTTCCACCACATCAATCTGCTTCTTAAAACCTAAAAACTGAAACAAAACCTGACTCCTCTGTATGTCCTGTTCCTATCTCAGCTCCCTACCCCCTAATTCATCAAGAAAGAGCAGCTGCATAACGCAGAAATATAGAATGGGAAACATGATTTGGGCTGGTTGGAGAATAATGATGTAGGTGATGACCTGTTTAGACATCAGTAAGCGAAAATATAGAGACTTAAAAGGGATATATCTTCATTCTACATTCTGAAGGACACTGTAAAAAAACCGTTATGTCAAGATAATGTGGAAATAGACTAACTACTGGTAATGCTCCCAAATGTTCTTTTCTCGAAATCTACTTGCTGCCAAGCAACTATGCAAATATAATGTAGAAGTGGAAAGGAGGTCCAACAAAGAAGATCCAACTTCAAGAATTTATCCTGAAATCCTGACCTTTGATGTAATCTGCTTCAACTTAGGTTTATGGCACTTATAGCACCTTTTTATTTATCAATTTTATGTTTTCAGAAAGCATTTTTCATACCAAAGTGGGAAAGATAAATGCCAGGGACAACTTTTTTCCATCAGCTTCAAAGTGATCTGATCATATACGGAATTCTCCTCTCCAAACAATTATTATTTTAAAATCTAGAGTCTAGTCCCAGTAAAGGTACACTAAAGAAACAGTTGTAGGCCCATCATCCTACCTGACACACAGTGTCTTTCTTATTGGTTCCAGTTCCTCTTCTTGACAGACTTGAGTCCACTGACTGCACATCAGAGGCATCAGCATCAGCAGCAGCAGGACTATCTAATTGCTTTCCAAAGCTTACCTATATGGAAAATACAGCATACCTATAAATGAAAAGTCCATCTCCCAAGTCAGGAGCTCTGAAAAAAATCTAGTGAGCCTTGCATAAAAGGTGTTCTTTAAAAATGTATAAAAACCTTTGGCTAAGCCTGTGGTTCTGGTCATGCAATTCTGGATACAAGAACCCTTGAAAGAGCCAAAGCTGCTTGTTAACTTATGTTCTCTTTTCAGCTAAGAGATTAGTACAAGTCGTGCACCTTCCCCTTCCCCTTGCTCCACAACAAAAATTAGAGTTTAGTCATTTCTAGCTTTTCAAGAATCCCCACAAAATCTTGAGGGCTGTCTGGGCCATTATAATCATATCCATTACTTGCAGTCTTGACATTGCCATTCTTCTGTCAAGCACAGTTCAGACCAGGACTGCCACCCAAAATTCTAAATATACTTACTTGCAAATCATTAAGTCCTCTAGAATCGGAGTCAGACGTGTCTCTGTACGCTGAACTAGTCATTTCTACATCAGTTGAGGCGCGACTCCTTTTCTTTAGAGGTTTACAGGAATCTGAAATCTCGCTGGCACCTTAACACAACACACTGAAATTAATCCTAAAATATCGCTTAAATTTTTCTTTGCTGCGGGAGAATATTTTTTTTTCCCCAAACTCATCTTTAGTGTGAAAAAGCACAGCTCTCTTTGTAATGCTGAAGTCATGAATCAGAACTCCACAAGCTTCTGACCTGCCTGGTATAAAATGATTTAATTACAATTGCACCATTAAGCCATTTAATTCAGTGCTCCTGAACTAAGGCTCATTTCATTCAACAGTGCCCAAGTTCCATTCTGAACACCAATTCTATCAAAACTGCAGGACGGCTGATAGATTTGGAGCAATCGAAAGAACGATTCAATTTGGCGGGGGAAAGACATAAAACCCAACACATTGTGCAGCTCACAAATATGTTTGTAGAGACATCTCCATCTTGTTTTTATTAGGGATGTGACAAATCTTTGATTTGTATTCGATTCGTACACGGATAGTGCCATTTTCCCCCAATTTTTGTATTCAGTTTAATACTGCCCCCCAGACAAATTTTGAATGTTCAGGTAATTGTTCATCTGAGCCTTCCTTGGTGATATGGCATTTATTCTGACCATTAACAAGCGCTGCAGCACCTCTCTGCACGTAATGCCATCTAGATGGCACGTTGCTGAGGGCTGTGAATGCAGAGTCAGTGCTCAAATGTGGCCAAATCACGAAGAGTTGGAAGAGAGGCCTCTGTGGAATTTATGCAAGAAGGAATGAGTATGAAAAAAGCTGAGAATAGTGTGGAACTTTTTTTTAAACTGTGTATAATACAAATCCAGCCAAAACAAGAGTGCAAAAACAAAAAACCCAACCAAACAAACAAAAAGAAAAACACAAAAAAGTACCCCTACAAAGCAACACTTCTCATGGCCTAATGCTACAAAAAACAGCCACGATGAAACATGTGTAGGTCAGGCACGATGAGTACCAAGGAACCAAGGAGAGGGTTAATACTGAAACCCAAGATTTATGTTTTGTTTTGCCCCCAACATTTCCATACAACAAATACACATCTAAATCAGCCCAGCAAAGTATGGAAGGAAGTGTGCAGTCCAGAAGAGACCATGGAGAAACGAGTCTCCTGAGGCCATGAAGATCCGTTAACAGGCTGGGTGAGATGTAGCACTTGACACATAGCCATGTTCTGTGATGGAGGATGTGGGCCATGTTAGACTGCTCAGATTACTGGAACCTTGTTATTAATCCCACTCTATAAATGTTTCCACTCAAACAGTGTTTCCTGACATCTATAAATGAGGGTGCCTGCCAGGATAAACGCTGATAAAAAACAAAAAAACAAAAACTGCACAATCTATTTCCTTCATTTGCTGGTGTGTGGACCCAGAGTACCACCACAGAATGTTTCCTTGGCCTAATACATCACTGGATTAAAAAGGACTTTTAACAGAGGAACAACAGTGCTGTACTGAGAAGCTTTCGAAGGGAAACACACAGGTACCGCCATTTCCGATGAGTTTCTGAAAATGCTAGAAAAATGGCAAACCGCCAATGACAGCTGCCATGCTGTTCTCCATGATAACGGCACTAACACTTAAAAAAAAAAAGAGCCTTTAATGATTGTAATGTATACAGTTTGGGCTGTTTGGCACAAACCCTGAAGATGTGCATTAATGATGCTTTATTTAAAAAAAAAACACCCCAAAAACAAAAACAACAGTCCATGTCGAAATTGATCAGTATAAAGTTAAACGTTGGCTTGTACGCTGGACCCAGGATTTAAGCTGTACCCATCCAGCTCTGGTGAAAAATCACTTGAATGTTAAAGCAGTCGTTTAGAGTCTTGTAGAAGAAACCAGTCAGAAGAATGCCAATAACGATGATGGTGAAATCAAAACCGAAAACAAAGAAAACTGTTCATCAAGCCGCTGTCAAAGAAATCTTGCATGGAGACTACAAGTCTGGAGTTTCTGGGATGAAATTGTACAGGAATCTCAGTCCACAGTTTCCTCAACCGCTGCGGAGACGGAGCTGTCACTGTATCTGACAGAGCCCTGCACTCCCCGGTCCGCCGACCCTGTGGAATGGTGGAAACACAACGCAATCAGGCCTCCTAATCTCGCAGCGATCGCGATGTCTTTTCTTGGAGCTCCGCCAAGCAGTGTTCCCTCCGAGAGGCTGTTCAGTTCTGCTGAGGATCTCCACGGAGACCATCGCTGCAGACTTCTCCCAGAGAATGCAGAGAGGCTGGTGTTTTTTAAAATGCAATTTGCCCAGAGTAAACTACAAGTATTAAATGCAGTTTGAATGATCTCACCAAAAAAAGTACTAAAAACTAATCACTCTACAAATTTGTACTGAAATCAAATTGTAAGTTTAAAATATATAAATTTAAAGTTATAAAAATTTAATGCATATCTCAAATAGATTTGCATATGGTCATCTAATAGTGGCCATAAATAATCTATGAATAATTTTAATTTTTAAAAAGGATTTTATAGCACTGTAAAAGTAAATGTGGCAAGATTTTTCAATCTGGTTGTCTCATCTGATTTGTCATAGTCCATGTTTGACGAACATTAATAGCTACTATTCAGTATTCAGTCGAATACCAAAAAAGTGGATTCGTCACATCCCTAGTTATAAACCAATGAAACCCCAGAAACATGGAGAAAAGGTGAAAATTGGATCAAATCTGCATAGTGTTCTCCAATTTATCATAATAAACAAGACTTCACACGTGGAGGTACAGATTAGAGCAATATGATAAAGTCACACACACACTGGGAAGGGAGGGGGATACTGCAATTCCACACAAATTGACTGAAGAGCAACAACAATGAATTACAAAGACAGACGAAAGTACAAGGAGTACAAATAAGTAATTCTTTCAAAACTGGTTTAAATCAGGGAAATTCAAAGTAACATTACGGTATATAACTCACCTTTCTGTAATCCTGTCTTCACTGCAGTTTGCGGAACTGTTTCAACCTGTTTAGACAGGAAAACAAGGAATTAATAAAGACATCTTTCTCTTTTAATTAACATAAAGGAAAAATAACACTTTCACCAATCTAAGTTATGATGAGTGGTTAGTGTATCTGAAATCGGAAGTCAGTCCCATCTTCAGGTCAAGCTCTCTGTCCCAGGGTGGGGGGGCGGGGTTTAAATCCTAGCTGCCTATGCTGAATACCAAGTGACAACACACAGCCACATGCTCTCTATCGAAGTCCTTTTCCCACCATTCCCTTGGTGTATGAAGACAACAAGAATACTTTCCTCGGTGTCCAGGAGGCAAGAGAGGGGGTTGTTTCTGCAACCAGCCCCGATGTTGCTATAAACCCCTCCCGCCCCAAATACGTTAGGATAAATTTTTACTTACTATGATACTCAGGTTAATGTAACTCACGCCACTTTAAGACCCTTCCGCGCCTGCACTCACAGCTAAGTTGCTGGGAATCAGGACCCTCTCTGTAGAGAGTGCTACAGGGCTCCATACAGCTGGAAGCTCAATACTTTTGCTGCTAGTACAAACTTAAGAAAATAAGTTTGTGATATTGCAAAAGCACTTTCTTGAGTGTCTTATGAACAGTGTTCTTGATCCTACATTAGGAGAGCGAGATTAGAAGTTATTCTGCCAATGTATATGTAAAACACGTGATAATTTGGTGATTGAACCATCAGAATTAAAGAAGGGAAGCTGTTTGGGGAGTTCCTGTTTTGGGCTAAGGATTGCAGTTTATGTTTCCTTAAGATGTGTTAAGTATGCATGTTGAAACACGTTTTGTAAATATTTAAGGATTGTTCTAAATTCTTTTTAAAAAAATTTTATTTTTTTACAACAGGTAAAAAAACATACAACAGAAGCGCTTTTATAGGATACAATTAGTAATACAAATATAAAATCTTCTAAACAATCACTGGTATTGTTCTACTACTAACTATAACACAGTGGCATTAACATTTTGTTTGTCCCATTATTTGTATTCATTCTGCTTATAATTTTAAACTGACTGGTCACAGACTGAATTTGGGAACCAGTTGCAAGATTACAACTTTATTTTGGTAATAAATACTGTAGATTTGCAAGAGCTTAGAAAGATTTTTTGGAATATAATTTCCTAAGTATGAAGTTCTGTATGATAAGTGTGTAATCGGTTAGTGCATCACGAAGTTTTAGTTACATACTTTCCGGGAAAAATTGTTTCATATGCTCAATGATAGCATAAAGCACCCACACTGTCACTTTCATTCAAGTTAAGAAGTTTAAAAATACAAAAGGAATCACTTAAAAACAAGAAAATCAACACTCAACATCAAGTGGTTAAAAAAAACACAAAGCTCATCTGAATTAGTTCCATTTAGAATGCCTTCTGCCAAGACAATTATCAAAATGGATACTCTTTTTATTTAGAAAAAGAAAAACCTTTTTTTTCACTGGGCATCTAAGAAAAAGCAGCAACAGTTTCCAGAAACTTCCTTGAAAAAGTAATTAAACACTTAATGTATATAACCTGATAAGATTATATATACTCATAAAATTAGTTTAATCACCTCCCTTAGCTCAGAATGATTTTTTGTTTTGTTTTTAAATAATAAAGTATTATTTATCTGACACCCCAATTACAGGTGAGTGCTGTTCCACTGAAGGAAAAAAACATTCCAAAAAATCTGTTTTGCCAACAAAAAAAAATCAGATTACCTATGATTATTTGACTCTTAAATATATTTAACTCTTATAGTTAAATTAATTTGATTTGTTTTAAAAATAAAAACATAATACAAACCAGCAGCTTAAACCAAAAATCAAAAGAAAAAAAATGGAAGGAACTCAATGGAGGTTCCACCAAACAAAAATCACTGAAAACATGAAATCATTTTGCTCATAACAGAAATCTCAAAGTAAATGTGTCAGGTTCATTCAAGCGTCTTGCACCATAGGATTCCCGTTTCCTGAAGCCTGACTGGTTCTGTGAAAGTGCCTGAAGCAGGATCACAGGAATGGCTGCCTTAGCAATGGGCACTGGCACTAACCAGCATGTAACATGAACAACAGTCTAGAAAGGAAACCCAATGGGGGAGAAGTTTTTTGTTTTTTGTTTTTAAAGAAAGAAAAAAGAAAAGAAAAGACAGAAAGAAAAAAGAAGGGGAAGATACTAATATAAGCCACAACATTTACAAATACAATGTTTTAACTCTCTACATGTAGGAAGCCAACCTGCTCCTTTTTGATCTTCTTCTTTGGCACAACCTCAGTGGATTTCTCAGATTCAGAACGAGTTCTAATTGATCTTCTCTGCTGCTTCTTTTCTATGGAACCTTAAAAGATATTGAAAAAAAAATTAAAGATTCCTCAAAATTTAAAACTTTAACTAGCTGTTTCTTGAGCTCAACATTCACTCTCCGGCCCCCCATGCTGGAAATCACTCCCTTCTTTTCTCTACCTTTTAGAATCCCCATCTCCCTTTAAGGTTCTGCTCTACTATGATATCCATGAAATCTTTCCCATTCTTCCCAGATGTTATAATGCCTTCTTCCCTTTATTTAATTAGTTGGGTAAATTTGTTTTATATGACAGTAGTAAGATGATATAAAAATATTTATATGTAATATGGTTGCTTTTCACAACTTGGAAAGTTTTAAAAACTCTGATCAATACAACAACCAATCATGGCTCCAGAGGATGAATGATAAAGTATGATGGGTGATGAACCCATGGTGCAGAATGAGACATACATTTTTGGACAGGGCAAATGTGTAGATCTGTTTTGATTGACTATTCTTATGCTAATTGTGTTTTTCCCTTTTAATTGGGAAGAGAAAGGGCTGAAAAGGGAAGGGAGAACTAGAAATAGCTTGTCTCCCCCATTCCTAGCCCCTTGCATGAAATAAAGGAAGGCAAATGAAAGAAACACAGACAAGATATTATGAGTAAGGTACTGAACTTACTAAATACTTTAAAAAAAGTTGTATATACTAGGGACATATGTTTTTATACATAATCCTCATTTTCTATTCTACTTCATATACAGAAATATTCTTTTTTTTGATGGTGGTTAAATTCAGATTTGAAAAAATATATAGTTAAAAAATTTTAAGCAAAGATTAAAATTTGGCTCAAGACTTCTATTATTAAACTTCTAAAGAGTCCTCTTTAGTTTCTTATCATTTATGAAGTATAAACTGAAAAGGAAGTGATAGATGTTTATATAGTATGATAAATCAATCATTTATTGGGTATCTATGTTGCTAACTTTCCTTCTGTATAAGACTTTTTGGACAACATAAGTTTAAAATTTCAAAAACATCAGGAGATACTGAGACTTTAAGTTAAAAAGCATGTGTTAATTTAAGTAAAACGCATGTGGGGAATTTTTTTTTTTTTTGCAAGTGGGGCAGCTATGTGGTGCCGTGGACAGAGCCCTGGGCCTGGAATCAGAACACCCAAGTTCAAATTCTGTCCCAGATACTTCCTAGTTGTGTGATCCTGGGCAAGCCACTCTGCCTAAGATTCCTCAACTGTAAAATGGGTAACAGCACCGACCTCTTAGGGCTATGGTGAGGATCAAATGGGACAGTATCTGTAAAGTGCTTGGGACAGTATCTGTAAAGTGCTTAGCACAGTGCCTGGTAGATAGTAGGTGCTAATGCTTATTCCCTTTCCTTACCAAGTGCAAACCAAGACTGGAGAACATACCTTTAAAAGCCCTACAAGTGAAAAAATTCCACCTGGAAAGATTTTATTTTGTGATCCTCTGGAAAGTAATACCTCCATTGTAGTAGTTTTCCAACTTTTAAGTTCAAAGGCTATTTCATTAGCTGTGTAAAGCTCAACCATCCTACTGGCTCCCATTTGCCCTTAATGGGAGGGAAAAAACACCACCTTATTTCCTCTTAAAAAGAATCCCTTTTGACTCATGACAGACTCACTGATCCTTAACCTTTTTTTTCTAAAGCAGGAAGGCATCAGAGCTTCTCCGTTACTAAGTTTCTTCATATTTCCTCTTCCTTTATTTCCTTTACCCCCTTGACTAGCGGTTGAGAGATGTTAAGATCTCCTTTTGCTTTTCAATCCTATGTGGCATCAACTATTGTTTGGCTGTTTTGTATACAGTTATGCTTTGTTCTCAAGCTGTGACTAGCGAATTCTCCCCTCTCCCTCAACTTCCCAACCATCATATTTTGATTTTTTTCCTTGTCTTGGGTGTCAGCTTCACCTAGAGAAAAGTACAGTCTGTCTTTACATTCCTGACCATCTAGTGAACCAATCTGAGAACAGATTTTTCAGAACTTCTTCTTTAGTGTTCCCACCGACAATACCTACTTGGGATAAAGAGAAAGATGAAGAATGAATAATCCTTTCCCTCTATTCACTTCTACATTTTTTTGGGAGGGGATGGGAGAATTCTGATGAAAATGATTCTTTCATCAGGTATAGACTAAAGTTTAGATTTTTTCTATCTTACCCTATAGGAAAGTAGAGGGAAAGGGGATAAGAGAAGAAGGGGCGATAAAAGGGAGAGCAGACTGGGGGAAGGGGTAATTAGAAGCAGACACTTTTGAGGACGGACAGGGTGAAAATAAAGAATAGAATAAATGGAGGTGTGTGTGGGGGGGCCCAGGATAGGATGGAGGGAAATATAGTTAGTCTTTCACAACATGACCATTATGGAAGTGTTTTGCATGACTACAAATGTATAACATATATCAAATTGCTTGCCTTCTCAATGGGGGGGGGGTGAGGAGGGAGGAAGGGAGAGAATTTGGAACTCCAAGTTTTAAAAACAAACATTAAAAAAAATATTTTTTACATGTAACTGGGGAAAAAAATAAAATACCAAATAAAAAAAGTTTGGATTTTCTATACCATTACTCAACTATATAAATAGCTCTTAAGGATTAGCTGTTAATATTCCAGAAGAGAAGAACTAATAACTTTGGTCTTTGAAAATAGCTTTGGAAAGTATGGTTTGAATAAACAAACATTAATTCAATTCATAAGACAAAGTGGTAATATAATACTTTTATGTGTGTACCCAGTACACTGAAAAAAAAAAGAAAAAAAAGGTTGAGGATCTCTACTTAGGATATTTGAGAAAATACAAACTAAGAGATTACAACTATCGAGAGGAAATACTTTTTTCTAATTTTGCAATCAAGAGAGTGTAGTAAAGCATCAAGGGCTTTGGAGAAACGGACATGAATTAGAGTAACTACTGATAGGACAGAACAAAAGATGATAAGCAGCCAAAGCTAAAACCCATACAAGTCATGCTGAAAGCACCCATTTTAAAATGAAAGTCCTAATTTCCATGGGGTGGGAAAATGAAAGTAGCCCATAAGAACTGAGATTGGCTAGCAGGAAGAAGTGTTAATGCATCCATGCTCATTTCAATATAAAGGAGATTCACATGTCTGGCATTTGTTTGTTGGAACCGCCTGTATTTGGAAGATCCAAAGACTCTTAGCATCCTACTCTCAGGCTCTTCTAAAATGCATTAAGAAATTAATTGTTCTTGTATTTTTTTTAAAATTATGCCTTAAAACTTTTAAATGCAGTCGATGCTAACATTTTCTCTTTAACTATGTCAAGAAACTTTGTGCTTATATTTTACAAAGCAATTTTAATGGGGGCATTTTCTTACTTTTGCAGGGCAGAAATGAGAATACAGTTACATTAAACCTGCCAATCATGCAGTAGAAAAAAACCCAAAAAACCCTCCAGTGACAGTAACTCTCTTCTACTTAAATCATTTATGAATAAGAAGAAAATAAATAGATTGACCTTTTCCTGGTTATAACCATAATATTAGGCTTTTTTTTGGGGGGGGTGAGGCAATCAGAGTTAAGTGACTTGCCCAGGGTCACACAGCTAGTAAGTGTCAAGTGTTTGGTCCAAGGCCAAATTTGAACTCAGGTACTCCTGACTCCAAGGCTGGAGCTCTATCCACTGCACCACCTAGCTGCCCCAATACTACACTTTTATAATGACCTACCTTCAACAAGATAAAGAAATAATGAGTTTAAGTAAAAATCTCATTGGGGGAAGGAAGGAGGAAAAAACAACCTTTAGGTGAAAATAAACTTTATGTTCAGGCTGAGGTTAAACTCATCTAACTGTACTCTGATAAAAGCTGCTTAAATGTTTCATGCAAGGCTCTCAATCTTAATTTCTATCTTTATTCTGACAAACTGCCAACAGATTAATATAAGTAGAAGTATCCCAAACAGAGAAGGATTAAGAAGAGCCTGGACCTATGATTTCACTGGTATAGAGAACTGCCCAGTGAGGAAACTCCCTCTACCCCTAAAAATTATAGCTTCCTAAATATAAAAGCTATTGGAACCCAAACAATCTAGATTTATATAGAATGATGATGATGAAGATGATGATAGCATATAACATTTATGTAGTACTTATGTGTTAAGAGGAAGCTAGGTGGTTCAGTGCATAAATTGCAGTGCCAAAGTCAAGAAGACCTGACAAATCTGGCCTCAGACACTTATTAGCTGACCCTGGGAAAATCATTTAACCTTTGTTTGCCTCAATCTGGGCAGCTAGGTGGTGTACTGGATAGAGTAGTGGGCCTGGAGTCAGGAAGACCTGAGTTCAAATCCAGCCTTAGACACGTATTAGCTGTGTAACCCTAGGTAAGTCATTGAACCCTGTTTGCCTTTTCCTGTCTGTAAAATGAGCAGAAGGAATTGGCAAACCACTCCAGCATCTTTGCCAAGAAAACGCTATAGACAACACTGGAATGCTTTGGTCCATAGGGTCATGAAGAGTTGGACACAAATGAACAACTAAACAATGTGCTAGGCACTGTGCAAAGTGCTTTACAATTATTATCTCATTTGATCCTCACAACAAATTTTTTAATTTCATTTATTATCCTTCACAAATATTATCTCACTTATAAATGGTGATAACAATAGCTAATATTTACATGCCAAGGCAGTGGGCTAAGCACTTTACAACCACTGTCTCATTTGATCCTCACAACCACTGGGAGATAGGTGCTATTATTTATTACCCCCATTTTACAGATAAGGAAACTGAGGCAAACAAAAGTTAAATGACTTGTCCAGTGGCATACAGCTAGTAAGTGTCTGAAGCTGGACTTGAACTCAGGTCTTCCTGACTCCAGGTCCATTGCTCTATCCACTACGCCACCTAAGTGTGTCAACTCTGATGACAACATTAATAATTTTGAAAATGTCATGTAATATTAACATGTCCAAACACAGACATTAACTTTGAAATCTACTACATTCATTCAAGCATCCACTACTACACTGGACTGCTGCAAAAAATAGTCTGAAATGATACAAACGCAAAATTTCACTCTGGTTTTTCTATCCATTTCTTTTCTTTACTCAGCTCTTCCTTCTATGTCATAACTTTAGATAAAGGCATGACTTTTAATGGCACACCCAGTTTTAGAAAGCAGGCATAGTATGGCCCTTTCAGAGTTACGGGAGACTGGGTCTGAATCTCATCTCCTGCAGAGACTAATTTTTTTTTTAATTTTCTTATTGCGAGGCAGTTAGGGTTAAGTGACTTGCCCAGAGTCACACAGCTAGTGAATGTTATGCGTCCGAGGCCGGATTTGACTCAGGTTCTCCTGACTCCAGGGCCGGTGCTCTATCCACTGCGACACCTAGTTGTTCCTGAGACTAATTTTTATGACCATGGGAAATGTCACTTAACCTCTGAGCTTCAATTTATTTATCCTGTGAAATGGGAATAATGACTAAAGTACCTACCTCACCCAAAGTAGTCATGAGGATCACGAGACAGTATACGATAGCCAGCATCTAGAAAGTGTTTTAAGGTTTATAAAGTATTTTACATATACAATCTCATCATCTGATCCTACACAACACTCCATGGTCTTTGATGTAATGCACTTTGTAAATCTTAAGGTGTTATATAAATTTTGGCCGTGACGTCCTAGAAAGACGGGCTAACAAAATTGGTGTTTATATCATTTCACAGAGGACTGAAGTTGCAGGCTTGAGTCAACCCAGACTCAGGAGTTGGCTCAGGGAAGTGAATATTAATAATCTCAGTATACTCTCCATTCATTTATACTTACCTGTCGACCCAGATGTTGTTTCAGGAGATGATACATTCTGAGCTGCTTTTTCATTTCTCTGGTTTGGTGTAGAAATGATAAGTTTGTCTTGTCCCCTGACACTTATTTCCGTTTTGTTACCAACTCCCTTTAAAATAAGCCAGATTAGAAACTGGATGATTACCAGACAAATGGAATCAATTGCAACTGTGTTTTAGAATAATAATCACAATCATTTTATAATACTATGCCATCCCTCATTCTAGGTATCTTATTAACTCTAATTCTCTTAATACAAAGTCAGCCAGAGTAACTATATTTTTATTTCATGGCTAAGGCAGAGAGAGAAGAAAAACATCAGTTATATGATGAATAAAATCAAAATTGAATCAAAAGTCCCTAGTTTCCTAATAAAAGTCAAATAAAATATCCTTCAGTATACATGCTCTCCCCATACATTAAAATGAAAAGAGTCTGTCACTTTCATCCGGTAGGTATCGGCATGGGAAGTACAAAAGTCTTACTCAGATCAAAAAAGCCCTTTTATGGGTGTCCTCCCAAAAATCTCATAGCTACCAATAGACAAAGTTGATGAGTGCCTGCAAGTTGTGGACAGAGGGCATATTTGTATAGGCAAGTCTTATTTTAAGAAAACCTGACATTCAAAATCCTCAACAAAACATAAATTAAGGGGTGATCATTTTACTGAAAATGTTCTTTTTTTTTGATACCTTATTCCAAATTTCTTTTAAGTGATATATTTAAATTAGGATTTAAATTATATAAAAGTTTTAAGGAATAGATCTACTGTATAGAGGTACAATTATATTCAGGTATTCCTGTAAAATAACAAAACAATTTAAAACACATATCCATGCATTATTGCCAAATCTATCTACCAATTCAGATTTAGGCTTGGGCCATAAGTTCTGAAGAGATGAATTGTTTCAAGGCTATAGGATGGCAACTACCAAACAAGTAAGACTAGCTGAATATGAAGCCACATGAAGATGTGGCTTGACTGAAGGCTCCCTCTCCTGTATCACTTATATTTTAGCAACTACAGAATTAAGAGTTCTAGAATAAACATAGTCCAAGAACTTCTTACACATGCATTTACTTGTAAACTGCAGTAAGTAAATATTTCCTGCCCATCTCTGACCCAAAGAAGCCAACCAAAATGACTGACTACTAAACATTTTGTGAACAGGGGATCAAAATCAAAATCTAATACTGGTATTAATTTGGCTTTAAAAGAATTTTTCATTTTTATAATCAGTAATACACGATCTCATAGAAATATTCCTATGCGACTATTATGACAACCACACAGGTCCCAAAGCAGACAAAGGACCCAGCCTTTTCCATGAATGCAGAGAACTAAGCTCTATCTTGGCCACAAATCTCAACATTAATTTATTGCATATGGGAATCTTGAAAAAGAAAAAAACAAAACAAAACAAAACCAAGCCCTCCTCCGAGGAAATTCTAGACTTTTGTCTAAACCTCCTTAGGCCCAAAAAGACTAAACTGCATTTCAAACGTCTATAAACAAAAAACCAAAAAACCAAAAACAAAACCCCAGTATCAAACAAACCAACAACAAAAAAAACTCCCACAAACAAAAACAAAAGCTATAGACTTTGGAGGATACCTTTGTTGAATAAACAAACTGATCAATGAATTTCCCATCTCCCGCAGCATTCTGAAGAGCAAATACTTGTTCAATTTTCACAACTGGAGACATGTTGCACTTCTGCAGATCCAGGCTGCCTTTGTGCATCGTAATGGAAGCTGGTAAAGATTTCCTCGCTGCTGCTGTCTTCCATGCTATTTTAACAGGGGGTGGCTCTTCCTCTTCCACACTTGTATGCCGTCTCTGGCTGTGTCTGCGGATCTCAGTACTTGACAGTGAGGAGGCTGCCTCCCCTGCATTGCTCTGTTCTGGCTGAGTGTTCAGCACTGCTTTAGGTCTCCGGTTCTTTTTCACTTCTGCTTTGGAGGCAGCACTCTTTTTCGCTTGGGATAAAACTTCCTCAGGCTGTTTGTCAACATAGATAAAAGTATATTGTTCTATTCTTTCTTCTCGGGTCATCTTCAAAGCTTTTTCTGCATGGGCAATGCCAATATCCCACTGGGCCCTCTCCCTCTGAGGTCGGGGTTTCCGAATCTTTAGAACAGAAACGAACATACTGAATCAGTCAGTCATATCTTAGATGATCCAAATCTGGTTATAAGTTTTAAAAGCATGTAACTCCTAGGTAACAAAATTAGAATCCTAACTATTAGTCTTCTTAGATTACTGAGCCAAAAACAAGTGAAAGAGTGTACACACATACACATACACACACACACACACACAATGTATATGTGTGTGCATAAAAAAAATCCTGATGTGAAGTTAGATAAACATTTACCACTTTATTTTCCATTTCCCCAATGGAAAAGTCTCTAACAAAGGCAGTTTTAATACCATTTGACTGTATAGTAATAACGAAAGAGAAAAGATGAATAAAAGAAGACAATGATTGTAGGTGGCCGGATGAATATCAAAATAAAAATCATGCTTTGCAAAGGACAGAATTCTAGTTCTCTTACTGATCGAAGAAAGGAATTAGGACAAGGAACAAAAGATGGTAACTTCTTTGTCAGCAGCACTGTGCATACAAATACAACAGTGAGATAGTCCTTGACCTCAGGGACCTCACATTCTATATTCTACTAAGCAGAGGTTTTCAACCCAGGGATGAGAGTGAGCCATGGATAGATTTCAGGAGGACTATGATCATGAATGGAAAAAAAAATCACGCCTTTATTTTCACTAACCTATCACTGAAATATAGCTTTTGATTCAACTATGAATGTAAGCAAATATTATTCTGAGAAGAGGTCCATAGGTGTCATCAGAATGCCAAAGGAATACACAGACGCGAAACAGGTTAAGAACTCCCCTGTACTAAGGGAATACAACATGTTCACAAATAAGTAAACATGGGATACATGGCTTAATATATATTATGGCACTTAATAAATGCTTAATCTATCTATCCCCAACAGGGGGTGATTAGAATCAGTAACAATTATGGGAATCAGGAAAATCTTTGTAAAGGAGTTGGGACTTGAGCTGAGTGTTTAAAAGGAGCTGGAGGTTCCAAGATGCAAGGTTAAAGAAGGAGAGGAATCTAGGCAAAGTGGACAGACTATTCAGATAAATCCTAAAGGGCTGCTGTCTGTACATATCAAGCAATCAATTAAGAAGTATTTATTAAGTGCTTGCCATATGTCAGGCACGCTACTAGGCACTGGGGATACAAGTGCAAAGAAATCTTTACTTGAAATGAGCATGCACTCCAATGGGGAAGACAAAAAACACACATATACAACATGAATATAAAATTAATAAATACAAAGTACTTAAATATAAGGCAGACTAAGAGGGAAGGTTAGGAGTATTAGGAAGGTTTCATGTCGAAGACAGTGCTTGAGGTGCATCATAAAAGAGTGGGACTCTGAGATAGAATTAAGGAGGGACTACAGTCCAAGAACGAATGGATGGCCTTCGCAAAAGCACAGAGAAGGAAGGAGAAGTGTAAGGAACAGAGAGAAGGTCAGTTTGGCTGGACTGCAGAATGAAGACTGGAGGTTACTATCCAATGAGGCTGGAAAGACTGGGGCCAGGTTGTATAGAGCTATAAAAACTAAACAGGTTACAGGACATTAGATTTTTATCCTACATGCAATAGAAAGCCTTTGGACTTCACAGAATAGAAGAGTCATATAGTCAGAGTTATGCTTAAGGAAAATTATTTGAGCAACATCACATAGGATTGTCTGGAGTGGTGGGAAATTTAAGGCAGGGAGACCCTTGGAGGGGGCTACAATAATCTAGGTGAGAAGTGATAAGGGTCTTTTAGGTAAAGGTAGTAGCTGTGTGAGACAGAAGGGACTGGAAGTGAGAGACACTGTGGTGGCAGAAAACAAGCAAGCAAAGGAGACCGAAACAGTGGTGAAACAGGTAGAAGTAGGAGAGAGTTGTAGAGAGGGTAGTCAACAGTGTCAAATGGTGTAGAGAGGTGTAGATAGTTCAAAAGTAAAAGGAATGAGAAAAGAACATCATATTTGTTGATTAAAAGATCAATGGTAACTTTGAAAAGAAAAATTTCAGTTGATTAACGAGGACAGAAGCCAAATTCAAAAATGCAGAAGACTAGACGGAGATGTACAGGTAGCTAGCACAGGACAGCTTTTGGTTGAGAAGGAGGAAGAACAATTGCTTCAGGGGATAGTTGAAGGTTTCTTAAAAACAGGGGACACGTGAGCATGTTTTACACAGTTGTATCAGAGGTAGCCTTAGAACTCAGGCATTCTATCGATCATCATGCCATGGTGATTTTTAAAATATTAAATTAAGAATGATTTTTTAAAAAAAATTACAACCTTTGGGCTTAAAAAGTAACATTTTTAATATGACTAAATCCAAAAGGAAATTCTGTTTGAGCTTTATATCTAAAGTGTTTAAATCTGTAGAATAATAAGGAAATCAAGTCTTCTTAAAGAAGCTGAAACTAAGACCCTAATGGTATCTCTAGACTTAGCTTCCTTAGACAGCTGATGGAAAGCAAAAACCAGTTGCTTTGTGGTGATAAAACCTCCACGACAAAGACAAGGAATATTTGTTGGGTTTTTTTTGGTGAAGTACTAATTGGAGGAAAAGTAGAGAAATGAGCAATAGGGTTACATGAAAGCCTTTATTCTTCCAGAACGAAAAAGTGTTTAAACCATGGATCTAGGACAAATTCAACTAAATAGTATTTCAGGGCCATGAAAAGTTCCCAATATGATAATCTGCCAAAGAAAATCTTTGGAGAAAAACAAGTTTTAGTTCAAAAGCTCCTGCTTCCTTTTCTCCTAACAATGAATTTCATCTGGCTACATATCAAATTAGCTGGCAAACAGCATACTTAAGCAGCGCTCTGGGCTAGACTCTCCCCCTACTCCCCTAAATCCCAGCTTTCAGCCTCTTAGTTCACTCCAAGGACCTAAAGAGAGCTGCAACAAAAAAGACAGGTTATGGTTGAGGCATTTCTGAAAAAGTAGATAAAGTAATGTAAACATATTCAAATGAGATACAATATTTAGTAATGGTGGGGCTTAAGGCATGTTATTAACACTGTGAATGATGAATCACTATGGTGCAATTTGGAGTTAGAGACCTGAGTCTCAGCTACTTAGTACCTAGCTGACCTTGGGCAAGTCCATTTTCTTTTTTTTTTTTTTTGGGGGGGGCTCCGTTTCCTCATCTGTAAAATAAGGGAACTGGAAGAGATAACCATGAGATCTCTTCTAGTTCTAAATATTGCTACTGCTGTTCAGTAGCATCCAACTCTTTGTGACCCTGTGGACCACAGCAAACCACTACTATTCATGGGGATTTCTTAGCAAAGATTATGGAGTAGTTTGGCATTTCCCTTCCCAGTGGATTAAGACAAACAGAGGTTAAGTGACTTGCCCAGGGTTCCACAGCTAATAAGTGTCTGAGGCCAGATTTGAACTCAGGTCTTCCTGACTCCCGACCCAGCTGTCTATCTACTGGGCCACCTGCCTGCCCCTCTTCTTTCATCTTAATGCCTTGCTTGTAATGATATCCTTTATGAGTATATATTCATCCTCTCCTTACTGTTCTGCCTCAGAGAATCCCTTACTTTCTTCAAGATGTAGCTCAAGGATCATTTCTTACGTGGTCTTTCCTGACCACTCCACCTGCTAGTAATATCTTGTATTTATTTTGTATGTACTTGCATATATGTAAATTGTCTACATCAACAGCATCAATAGCTTCCTCAGAGCAAAGACTGCTTCATTTTCTGTCTTTGTATTTCTAGTGCCTAATACTGTGGGTTTAATAAATATATGATTGATTGACTAATCATATACAAATGGGGAAAGAGATAGTGAAAGGCTGAAATGTAAGTTCAGCAAAATGAGAGGATAAACATGGTTTTATGTATTTAGAGATAATCAAAAGAAGCAGAGTTGTTATTATAGCAACTGTTTTGGTGGAAGACAGAAGAGGACTGTGATATGACTTCTGTATTAAAGGGATATACTATATGGAGCTGGCATCGCTTAGAAAGGATATAAAGAGCAACTAAAAGAAGTAGGTAAGAGGTACAACACAGTACTCTACATAATGCAAGAGTACAGAAACTAGATCATGCCATTTCCCCTATTTAAAAACCTTTAGGAATAGATCCAACCATTCTGTAAATTCAGGTGTGTTTTGTGTGTGTGGTAATTGGGGTTAAGTGACTTGCCCAGGGTCCCACAGCTAGTCAGTGTCAAGTGTCTGAGGCCATATTTGAACTCAGGTCCTCCTGACTCCAAAGCCGGAGCTCTATCCACTGCACCACCTTGCTGCCCCAGATTCAACCATTCTGGAGAGCAATTTGGAACTATGACCAAAAAGCTATAAAACAAAGGGTGCATACCCTTTAACCCAGGAATACCACTTCTAGGTCTGTATTCTCAAGGGATCACAAAAATGGGATAAGGACCTATATGTACAAAAATATTTGTAGCAGCTCTTTTTGTAGTGGCCAAGAACTGGAAATTTAGGGGATGCACATCAGTTGGGGAATGGCTGAACAAGCTGTATATGAATGTAATGGAATACTATTGTGCTATAAGAAATGATGAGCAGGCAGACTTCAGCAAAACCCTGAAAGACTTAAATGAACTGATGCCGAGTGAAATGAGCAGAACCAGGAACAACATTGTACACAGTAACAGCCACAATGTTTGATGACTAACTTTGATAGACTCATCTCTTCTTAGTGATGAAAGGATTCAAGACAACTCCAAAGGACTCATGATGGAAAATGCTGTACACATCCAGAAAAAGAATACGAAATCTGAATGCAGAGTGAAGCACATCACTTGCGCTCTTTTTTTTTTTGGTTTCTCCTATTGGTTCTAATTCTTTTTTACCATATGACTAAAGTGAAAACATATTCAATATGAATATATATGTAGAGCCTATATCAAATTGCATGCTGTCCTGGGGCTGGGGGGAGGGGAAAGATGAGGAGAAAATTTGGAACTCAAAATCGTATGGAAGTGAATGCTGAAAACAACAAATAAATAAATAAATAAATACATAGATGATGTAAAAGCAAAAATGAAAACCTTTAGGGCTTCTCAATTGCCTATAGATAAAAGTGAAACCCTAGTCTGGCACTCAAAACTTTTCATAATCTGACTCCAACCTATATTTACAGTTTTATTTCATACATGATTCCCCTTTATAGACTTCACATTCTAGATAAACTGGACCACTAAGCATTTCCCATCTCTCAGAGCAGTTGTAGGGAACAAATGATATAATGTATGCAAAGTCTCACTTGAATCCTAAAGCACTACGTAAATATGAGTGATTATTATTATTATTATCTCTCCCCCCCGCCCGTTTCCTCTCTTATACGTATTCTATCAGCACCTAGCATAGTACCTGGCACCAAGTTGGTCCACAAAAAATGTTTATTGATTGATATCTGAAAATCTGACCAGGCTATTGAGAGTACTATTCATTTTCTACCCTAAGAATATTTGTCTTTATTAAAGTTTCAGCTATTATGACACTACTTCAGTGATTCCTCCCCTGGTCTCCTCTCCCTGCCACCTTCTTTCCTTCACTGAATTTTTCTAGAGCACTTCTCTGGATCTCTATTTTGCTTAATCACATTTTAATTTGTAGCACTGTGTACATGTTTGACTTCTAATGGAACATGGGCAGTAGTATGTGGACATCAACCTGGGACAGAGTAGGCACTTGATAAATATTTGTTGATTGACTTACCCCTTGTTCCCTTTGACTACTTCCAGGCCACTGTCTTACCCCAACTACAATCATTTTACCTCCTTTGAAGTTCGGGCCATCAGATTATATCATTCTCTCTGTCTCTGTCCTTGTTGCTGGTCACCAACCTACCTCCAGAACACCTTTCCACATTCTACAGTAACTCTGACACTTCATTCATTCTTCACCCTTCAACCTCTTTGAACTTCATTTTCTTCATCAGTAACATAAGGGGACTAAACTAGATGACTTCTAAAATCTTCTCTAGCTCTAGATCCTATAAATTCATGGGTTTTTCTAGGATATTGTTCCACCATCATCCCTCTTCAATCCTTCCTTGTCCACTGGTTTGATCTCTGCCTACAGAAAGCAACATGCCCTCCAAAACACCTTCCCTTGGTCTTCTATCTAGCATTTCTCCCCTCCTTTAACACTAAAAATAGTTTACATTCAATGCTGATATTTCTTCTTCAAGAAAATCCTTTTTCCCCCTGGGGGTGGGTGGAAAGGGGAATCTCTGTTACTTTATTAGAGACATAATCTGGTATAGTGGACAGAAAGCCATCTAGGAAATCTTGGGTTCAAATCCTACCTCTGACACATACAGGTTGTGTTCGGCAAGTCATTTAACTTCTTAATTCCTTAGGAGGCTTGCTAAGACTATAAAGTGCAAAGAAGGTGCTGATTTGCATTGGTAGAGACAGTTTATTCATTTGAAAGTTCCCTATAGCAATGAAATTATGATTTCAAGGTACAATCTTTATCTCAACTTAACTAAAACAACTCTAAGGTCACCAATGAATAAAAAGTCATAAAATCACATGGCCTTTGGTTCATTCTCACTGACTTCTTTGGAGTATTGAAGCATTTAATAACTATTTGCTGCTTCTCTATGTTTTTGGGTTCTCTGACACTGCACCATCTTGATTCTCCTACTTTAGGATTACAAATCCTGAAACTGAAAGAGACCTTGGAGGTTACCTAGCCCTGTAGTTACAGATAAGAAAGTTAGTAATCCATTATCAGAGATATAAAGTGGAAGAGTTGAGATTTAAACAGGAGTCTTAAGACTCCAAATCTAACACTTTCCATTGTACCACTAACCTCTCTAGCTCTTTGTTATGGAAGAAGAACTCTTCTAACTCTTCTTCTATAGCTTCAAATTGTAATTTGGGGGGGGGGGGAGGGAGGAAGGAAGAAACTCTTTGAGATAGATTTCCTTATCTCATCCAGGCTGGAAATATACAGGCCACTTCCAAGCTTGACGGCACTGCTACTTAGCAGAGAAAGTCTGACCTGTTCTATTTCTGATGTGGGCTGGTTGCCTCTTACACAGCCTGGTGATCTCCTGGTCTGAGCTAAAGTGGTATACCAGCCTCAGCAGTAGAAGAGATTAAAGGAGAGTACTATCATGTCTAGCAAAAATGCCAATGTTACCAAAGATGCCTCTTCTTCTCTATGTATTATCCTCCTATTTGCTGAACTTCACTCTCATAACTTTTGCTATCAATTTATGTGAATGACTCCAAATTTTTATCTCTAGTCTCTAATTCTAATCTCTCCCTCTTGAAATCAGAAATGGAAGTGATCTTTTCAACCTCTGAACCTCCTAATATCCCTAACAGAATACAATCCCTACAACTTGGCATCTTCTTAAGGACCTAGTTCAGCAAGAGCACAAAATAGGTGCCTAAAAATGTGTCTTGAATGCAAGTATTTTTATGAATGCTAGTAAATTCTGAAAATCTACCTATGAGATTTTCTAATATGCTAGGCCTTCTCTTTCTAAATAAAACAAAGAGAAATCTGACTATGTATGACTCATTCCCAACTATTAGTTTGATGAAATTTAAAAAGAAACTCAAGACTAATTTCTCACCTAAAATATCACTGCATTAGATTTAGCATTTAGGTCCAATTTCTTCAAATCATACAATATGAAATTCAGCTTAGTTCTGTTAATAAAATTCTTAATAAAATTAAGTTAAATAGATATGTTAAGAAGATTTAAGATATTTGTTTTCTTAGCAGTGATCACATGTTCATAGGCAAGTGGACAAAAGACTGCACACTGGTAACACACAAAAAAATGCACCATGTTTAATAATTCAGAAATTTCACTTTTCGCATAAAATGTTTACAAGCTAAAGACAGACTCGGTAAACAAACTTATGGAAGGAAGTCAAGAGGATACAAAACATAACTAGTTCTAGCAAGCATGTCACACTTTACCAGTACCTGGTTAATTTATGCTCACAAATTTCTGACTCGCCAAAAATTCATTTACTGGAATTAAGCAGGTAACTAAGATAACATCTGTGAGCCCTTGTTAAAACTGCACTTGTTATTATAATAACAGCATATTAAAAGTCGTATTTGATGGACATCAAAAGCAGAGAAATAAAACTAATACTGGTTGAATTCACCAAGAGAAATTCCAATGAATCATTAAATGTTTTAAACATATTCAACTGACACACTGAATTCAGACATATACCTTTTGTTTCTCAGAGTGATTGCTGGCTTGTTTAGTTGCTTCAGCTAGTAACTGTTCGTATTGTTTGTGTCCTTTGTACTCTCGTACCCGCTTTTCGTGGACCCATGCTCGCTCTGGTTGGTTGCTGAAAAATTGGACATGGTATTCCCGGGCCCCTGAAAACAGAACCTCTTATCAACAATTTGAAACAAAAAACACGTAGATGTTCATCCATAAAAATTCATGTGCAAATCATGGTGAATAGTCAAGGTTTTCCAGAGTCTTAATTCTACAACTATCCATCACATACACAAAGTTTTACAAACTATATTATATTACATAAAGTTATACTACTATTATACATACTGAGTATGTCATACCTATTGATTAAATGTTTGCATACTAAGATTCTGAATTAAAGAAAATTGTATTAATCATTGAATTTTTTGTTACTATGGTAAAAGGAAATTTATTTTTCTATTATTCAGATCTATGACTAACAAACGCCTAACTCTTAATTTGTCCTCAATAATGGAAAAATCTTGAAAAATTAGAAAACAATTTCAAAGTAATGATAATTTAATTTATTGTCATCTGACCCTTTGTGACCCCATTTGGCATTTTCTTGACAAAGATACTGAAGTAGGTTTGCCATTTCCTTCTTCAGTGGATCCATTTTGTCAGGCAATCAGAGGCTAAGTGACTTGCCCAGGGTCACATAGCTAGGAAGAGTCTGAAGCTGGATTTGAACTCACGTCTTCCAGACTCCAGGCCCAGTGTTATATCTACTGAGCCACCAGCTGCCTCTAATACTTTTTCATTATTATTGCGTTTTATGGTTTATAAACAAAATACTAAGTATAAACATTGTCCCCACCGTTCAGAAAAGGAAACTGAAGCTCCAAAAGACTGAGTGATTTCCTCTGGTCACTGAGCTAATAAATGTCAGCACCAGAAGTTCTGAAGTCAGAAGTACCCAGTACTTCTAAGTGTCAAGTCCACTGTATCATTTTTCTTCTCTGTTATAACTCCATGCTCCCACCTCTCTATGCATCAGCACAGGCCACCCCTCATACCACTAACCATCTTCACATCATTTATTCCCGTCTGCTAATGTACTGATCAGTTGATGGAGTTCCAGTTCCCAAGCCTGTCCTGCCCTTGGCTCATACTGTCCTCATTGGTGAATGCATCACTTGGCCCACCCAGTATTTCACATTCCACCCCAGTCATCTTCAAGTCATCTGCCCTGTCCAATATAATCTAGATGGGGAGATTCAAATGTAACATTTTACTCCTGACTTTAGAAAAATGTGTTTATTAGCTTATGAATTAAGATAAATTTCAAATAATACAAGAAAGACCACCAGGGACTTTTCTCATTTTCAGTTTTATTAGCCTTTTCTCTTTATTAGTCTAGTATCTTGAGGAAAATTTTGAAACCAATTCAAATTTCACAAAGAGGAAAAAACCCAACAATTAAGTAAAAGAATAAGAAAGTCATCACTAGATTAATAAAATAACAACCAAAACAACACTGAGCAGTTTTTGCATGGTTCACTTAGTGCAGGGGAACACTGAACACCACCCAGCCTAGAGTCTACAATTCACACAGGTTCAAAGAAGCTCTGACTTCTGCATCCTGACCTTAATGATACTGCAGGGTCAGCTTAAACTGTTCAGCCACAGGAAAGAAGAGAGGAATATAGCTCATGCCTCTGCCAGGGGTAGAGAAGTAATGAACAACATCTTAAAACTGTTACGACCACAAAGTGTGGCCTAGAGAGTACAACCTTCTGGCAATGAAAGCCAGTTAGTAGCCTTAAGAAGATGTATGGGTTTCACTATATCTCTAACTGTAAGCATATAGTGAACCTTAAGGCACTTCTGCTACAGCAAATAGTTGTTTATTCAGGTACCAACTTATAACTATAATGTCCTAGTCCTAGGAAAGTTCTGAGAACATTGAAAAACTGAACGTGACAGAAGTACTAGGTATTTGACTTCCGGTTTTTTTTTTTTACTTTAGCCAACAGTTCCATTTCCTTTTCCATCAAATCTTATATTCCAGAGATGGTAACAAACAGCCCATTTGCTTGATTTAAAGTTTACTTCTTTCTTGTTCCTTGGCCAAAATGCTGGTAGTGAAACTATATAACCCAAAAGTCTGACTAGTCTACAAAGTAGGTAATTAGCCAATGAATAGTGCCTTGCACTAAAGCAGGTACTTAATGTCTGATGAACTGAATGAAAGAGTTGATTATACACTAAATAGAACATATTTAAAGAGATAATTGGTACATATACATGTATATTCTTCATTTTAGACGGATATTGCAAGATTAAAAGCAACTAGCTTTAAACTTAAAAAAACTTACTAAATTGTGAATGACAACACTTTTAATAAGCAGCCTGCAATTTAATAGCAGGAATACTTTATATGTTTACATATTATATTTTTAAAGGATCTGCCTTTGGGTGTGAAAAACATAATGCCCTCTATGACTCCTCAGGATAGTCAAATATTTTTGACGATGATTATGATGAGAGATCAATATTCAAACATTTAAAAAGACAAATTATGTAAATACATTTAAGTTAAAGGCAACATAATATAATATAAAGGCATATAATTTGTTTATGGGCATCTCTGCCACCACTAAGAAGCAGTGAGCTACTGCTAAAAGAACACAGAAATCACAGGAGAAAAACTTGGGCTTGAGGCCCAATTTTTATACTTGCTAGCCATATGACTTTGAATAAATCATTCAATCTTTCAGCCTCAGTTTCTTTATAATAACAGCAACAACTCACATTTACACAGTGCTTTGAAAGCTATTCAGACACTTTTTTTTTCACAACAACCCTATGAGTTGTTATCCATCCATTTTACAGATAAGGAAACTGAATTTAGAGGGTATTCAGCTTGCCCAGGATCACAAGGCTTATTAATAAGTGTCAGGGTCTGGTCCTGAACACAAGTGTCTTGACTCCACCAAGGCCTGTGCTCTTAGCCACTCTGCTGTGCCTCATTGGTGAAATGATGATAATAAAATACTTCCACTACTTACCTCACAAGTTATTTTGTAGCAAGATGTTCCAGAAACCACAAAGTACTACATAAATAGAAACTATCATGATGATTACTATCATCAGAATTCTATAAAAAATTATATTCAAAGAATCATATGACACTTTTCCCATGTACAGTTTTAGGATGTTCAGTTTCTTTATAGGCATGAGAGCATTGCAAGTGTTCTGCCAAAACAGGTACCATGTTCTTCTGTTCTGGGGGTGCCACTCATTACTTGATACCAAAAACTGGGTGAATCAGCCTCCTTAGACTGTGCAGATGAGGCCAAAGCTAGATTTGGCTCTGCCTTATTCTGACAGAGCCAGCAGCTCAAGTTGGAGGGGAGTGTCAGGATTCAATAAAGTGATGAAACTTGAAAACTATACATGAATGGGGGCAGGGAGAAGGAGAAGGGAGAACCACTTTCTAGACAAGGAGAGGACTTCAGAGGCAAAATTCTATGAGGATGTAAATTTTAAGTGGAGCTCTAGAAACCCAAGGGTGAATATAAATTATTTTGTGCTTTGCCATAGAATGAGTCCCTTAGAGAGCCTTACCCTTACCTCCCGATTTCTTAATATCTCTGCTAAAAAAGTGTCTACATTATGGCTACTGGGGAATTTCAGATCTCTTTCCTTAGATGGATTCTGTTGTTTTTATCTTCAATCAGTAAGCTATGACAGCAGGACAAAGAACCATGTTTCAAAAGTCAGAGTAGCAGCGGCTGCTGCAGGAAAAGAAGGAAGAATAATTAGCAAAGCACTTGAGGATTTGCAAAGTGTTTGGCAAATCTCTCATTTCATCCTAAAACAACCATGGGAAGTGGGTGCTATTATTATCTCCTTTTTAGAGCTGAGGAAACTAAGGTAAATAGAGGTTACGTGATTTGCTTAGGGTTGCACAGCTAGTAAGTATCTGAGGCTGGATTTAAACTCATGTTTTCCAGACTCTAGGCCCAGTGCTCTACCCACTGGGCAACCTAGCTACAGAAGTAGGAATGAAGTAATGGCAGAAAACACAGTACAGCAATTCTTATTCAACGTTAAGATTGAAGCTATACAAACCAGCATTTTTTCAAAAGTAAAAAGGATGGGAATAAGGGAGAAAATAAGGTAAACTAAAAAAACCCAAAGGGTCATCTTGAGAAACTTCACTGTCAGGTCTAGCACCCTGATAACAGTTAATAGTTAGCTACATTATAGGCATACGTCACCTTGCTTTGGGGAATAGACCTCTTTAAATCATGTGATTTAGTGACTCACCATTTGATCTCAAAGGAATTTCCCAAAGTTCTTCTCTCAGGTTGGCTAGTCTAATACACCAGTATTCTGATCACCACAGTAGTTAATTTCTCACTGAAAACCGACTTTTTGACACTGATAAGTTTGTCTGAGTTTGGATGGTAATCAAACCTGTTTATTCTTGGATGGAGTAATCATTAAGGGTCTGACCAAGAATAGCTAAAAAATTCATCTCTGGAGCAGGCTGAGAGGCAGCACGGCATAACAGAGAGAACACGAGACTTGGAATCAGGAACACCTGGGCTCCAATCCTGCCTCAGACATTTACTGACAGTGACACTCTGGGCAAGTCATTCACCCTCTGCTGGCCTCCGCTTCCTCGTCTGTGGAATGAAAGGTTTATACTCCGTGACCTCTGAGATCCCTTCCAACTTTAAATCTAGGATGGTATTAGTACTAGACTAACATCAATCCTTAGGGCTAGCCTCTTCCCCAAGAACAACATTAATCATGTAATTTTAGAGGTGAAAGAGATCTTTGAAAAATTATCTAGTCCAATCCCATCATTTTACAGTTGAAAAAAAAATTATTTTTTTTTTAACAGCAGCCAAGTGGTGCAGTGGATAGAGTGCTGGGTCTGGAGTCAGGAAGACTCATCTTCCTACATTCAAATCTAGCCTCAGACACTTACTAGCTGTGTGACCCAGGACTTAACCCTATTTGCCTCAGTTTCCTCATCTGTAAAATGAGCTGGAGAAAGAAATGGCAAACCCCTCCACTATCTTTGTCAAGAAAACCCTAAACGGGTCATAAAGATTTAGATATGGCTGAAAATGACTGAAGAACAACCAAATGAGTAGTAAAACCAGAATCAGAACTCAAGATGCCTGACTCAATCCAATGATCTTTGCAGTTATATCATTTGGCTTCCATATAACAAGAATATCTTATATTACTTTCTTTAGGCATGGTGAAAGAGAGATACTTATAAGGTTAAAATCATTTAGTAGAATAAATAACCTCCTTACATACCAACTTGTCTTCAAAATTCCCCTCCTTTCCCTGCCCCACCCAAAGAGGGGAGCAGATCTACCCAGCTTCCTATGTAATACTCCTTGGAGACTCTGAGCTTCTGTACTCATCTGCCTCCCATTACTACCCTTATGTCTTCCCCTGTTTCTCTTCTCATTCCTTGTATTTATCAATCACCAACTATTTAGGAAAAAACTGCCTCAGTCCCTTTCCTCTTTATCTCTCATCTATATCCCCATCAAGCCTAGCCAATTCATCTCTTACTCAAAACCTGCTCACCCCTCCCACTGTGTCCTCTGGATTTCCCCTTCCATAATGAATAAATTCCCCTTCACACTGGATTTCTGTCTCTACTCCTTCCATGAGTTAGCCTTCACTGAGAACTGGCTCCTCTTTGCCAAAATCATATTCCCCAAATTTCCTCTCCAGAAATAGTTGTACTTTTCTCTCACATCCCCAACACACTGAGGAGTCATAGTACTCCTTGATCTCCACTGTCACTTCCACACTCTCCCTTTACTTCAATCACTCACCAACTACTCCTCCTTTGAAGACCATTCAATTAAAATTTTTCACCTAAATAAAATTGTGATAGCTGTAATATAAAGACCTCCAGGTCATTCTTCCTTCTTTCCTCAAGAATTTTAATATTCATTTAGATGCTCTCTCAAACTCCCTATTCTCCCATTTCTTCAATTTTAAATCCCACAACTTATTACTTCACTCCTCAGATGAGAATAGTCATAGACTAGATCCTGCCATCATCCTCAAGTGTTCCATCTCCCTAATTAGAAACTCTGCAATTACCCTACTATTCTACCTATGCTTCACCCTCTTAAACCGGTTCTTATCCCATTATTGATACCTCTAAACTCCCCACCCCCACCCCCATTCCTTAGCACTTTCTCAGGCCATTATCCCTGTTCTGATCTTACTTTCCTTTCTCTCCAACTTCAACCCAATAGTTAGTCATTTCAACTCTACATTATCTTCTCCTCTTGAATCCCATGTTACCTTGCCTTATCTTGCCAGACCTCAGGTCTGGATTAATCCTACCATCTTCCATAGCCACTCCTATGCATGGAAGAAGTATTTCAGCAATGACAACTGGGCACATTACAAATTCATTTTAATCTAATCACAACTGGGCTTTCAGAGCAGCTAGAGACCTCTGAATCTTCCCTAACTGCTTCCCTATTACGCTCCCTACAAAAGTATTTTTTGTTTTGGTGAAGCAATCAAGGTTAAATGACTTGCCCAGGGTCACACAGCTAGGAACTGTCAAGTGTTTGGTCTTGAGGCTGTATTTGAACTCAGGTCCTCCTGATTCCAGTGCTGGTGCTGTACCCATGGCACCACCTAGCTGCCCCCCTACAAAAGTGTTTTAAACCTTTTTTTCTTTCCTCAAACATCCCACAATGCCCTTCCACTTGTTTTTGTTTGTTTGTTTTGCTAGGCAATGGGGTTAAGTGACTTGCCCAGGGTCACACAGCTAGTAAGCATTATGTGTGTGAGGCCGGATTTGAACTCAGGTCCTCCTGAATCCAGGGCTGTTGCTCTATTCACTGCGCCACCTAGCTGCCCCTATGCCCTCCCACTTGAAGGAGGACCTTGCCCCTTACTTTCAGAGCACTCTATGTGAGCTTCATTTTGCCTGTTTTCTTCATCTCAAAACCCTATCATTTCTTACTCTCTCTTTCCGCCAGTCTTTGACAAAGAGGCCCTTCTTACTACTAAAGCCACCCCCTCTATATTTGTACTATATGTGATCTCACTGCCTCCCATCTTCACTATCAGACTGCATCCTCAGTCATCTTCCCTCTAGAATCTTCACTTCTCCCTGGTTCTTTCTCTACTGCTTTCAACAAGCATGCAAAATTCTTCCCCATCACTCAAAAATACTCATAAACTGTTAATGTTCCTCAAGTTATTTTCCTACACCTCTCCTCCTTTACTCAGCCAAATTCTGAAAAAGCTGTCAACATTCGCTGCCTCTACTTCCCCTCATCTCCACTCACTCCTCAACTGGTTTCTAATCTTATCACTCAACTGAAATTACTCTCTCCGAAGTTACCACTAATCTTTTAACTGCCAAATCTGAGGATCTCTTCTCCATTTCAATCTTTCTTGACCTATCTGTTCCATTTGACAGTACTGTCTAACCTCTCTCTTCAATATTCTCTCTCTTCTCTGGGTTTCTATGATTACTTTCTCCTGCTTCTCTTCTTACCTGTCTGACCATGCTTTTTCAGTCTCCTCTGATAGTTCATTATCTATGTCATGCATCCCAACTGTGGATGTTCCCTGAGGTTTTCCTGAAAGCTCTCTTTTCTTCTCCCCTTACACACTCCCCCTCTTCATAACCTCATGGCTCCTATGGGTTTAATTATCATTTATATGCAGGTGATTCTAAGATCTACATACCCAGCTCCAGCATCTTCCCTAAGTTTTGATCACAACTCCCAATTTGCCTATTGGATAATTCAAACTGGATGTCTTAGAGACATTTTAAACTCCATATATCCAAAATTTAACTCATTATCATTTTCCCCAAAACCTTCTCTCTTCCAGACTTTTCCTATTTCTATCAAAGGTATCACAATCCTGACAGTGTCTGATGTTTCTAAGTTTGGTATCGTCTTTGATTCCTCATCTCACATGTCGAAGCAGTTGCCAAACCTTACCATTTTTATCTCTATGATATCTCTGACTCCTGACTGAAATGTGCAAATTTACACATTTTAAAAACTGTGCTTCAGAATTTAAAATGATGAAAGGCACTGGGGTTTGGGCACGCGTATATTACACATGAGATTCCAAACATGAGCAGTCATGTGATCCTATTCTAAATCCTTTTTAAGATTAGGTATGGACTACTCATTGTCCCTTTGATCCAAAAGGGTCAGATCAAACTTGGAATGAAACAAAAACAAACAGAGCTATAGACTAAGTATAGGGGTACTAGTAATAGATATTACACACTTTTACAGTATGAAAGAGAAGGAGAAAGCACTTAATGTTAATTTGTATTTAAATGATTGCATCTAATATTTGCTTATTGGTTCTTACCTCTTGTATTAATTTTGGTATGAACCTCAAGTTGGGGATCACTTGAAACCATACAAGGCCACCAAGGATAGGTTCCCACTTTAGACCAGACGAGGTCACCAACTTGGAACTTCACACCAGTGCTCACTTCCGCTGGAAGGGAAGGTAGGTACTGTTGAACCTACAGGAAAGAAATTTCACCACAATGATAACAAAAGTTAAACTGTGTGTGAAGTATAAAAAGAAAACTGAATAAATATGAATTGTGCTTTTTTTAGGGTTTTATAGATATTAGGTTTCTTTTCCTTCAACATTTGCTATTAACACTCCAAAAAAGAAAAAAAGATTAGATTCTAAGTTTCTTCAATAGAGATTCTTTTTTTCACTGTTTTTTCATATTGCCCTCAGTATTTGTTAACCTAGTTCAAAGATGATGCTCAACACATGTGTGTTGACTAAATGAATGAAAATAACCAGAAAATCATTCCCAGAATGGTCAAAGGGCATCTTTAGAGTCTATACAAATGACCAAGAGAAAGAAGACAAATAGTTATGCGGGGTAGAAAAAAAAATTCAGTGAAAGTACCCACCTCTAAAATTTTATTGTACCACTACTAGGTCTGTATCCCAAAAGAGATAAAAAACAAAAAGGTAAAGAACCTATATGTACAAAAATATTTATAACAGCTTTTTTCTGGAGGTAAAGAATTAGAGGTTGAGGGGACGCCCATCAATTGGGAAATGGCTGAGCAAGTTGTGGTGTGTGATTATGATGAAATACTATTGTTCTACAAGAAATGATGAGCAGGATGCTCTCAGAAAAACCTGGAAAGACTTGCATGAGCTGATGCAAAGTGAAATATATTGTGTACAAAGTAACAGCAACATTGTAAGACAATCAGCTGTGAATGACTTAGCTGTTCTCAGCAATACAATAATCCAAGACAACTCTGAAGGCCTCATGTTGAAAAATGCTGTCCATCCCCAGAGAAAGAACTGATAGTGTCTGAATACAGACTGAAGCATATTTTTTTTTACTTTCTTTATTTTACTTATTTTTTTCTTGTCTATGTTTTCTTTCACAACATGACTATTATGAATATCTTTTGCATGACTACACACATATAACCTATACCAATTAAAAAAATTGTTTTTACATATTACTGGGGAAAAATAAAATAATAAAAGCTTAAAAAAATAAAATTTTTATTGCTATCTTTTGTCTTTCATTTCCAAATACATCCCATCCTGTCCCCGCTAAGATCATCTCTTCTTTTTATTTCTTTTTGAATTTTTGGCAATTGGGGTTAAGTGACTTGCCCAAGGTCACACAGCTAGTGTCAAGTGTTTGGTCTGAGGCTGGATTTGAACTTAGGTCCTCCTGACTTCAGGGCCAGTGCCTTATCCACTGCGCCACCTAGCTGCCCCAAGATCATCTTTTCTAACAAAGAACTTTTATAAAAAGTGATTCAACAAAACCAATACATCAACTGAATCCAATAATACTGACACTGTTTTACACCTGCATTCCCCCTCTCCTTTGGAAGGAAGGGAGGAGTCCAGAAAATTGTATACACCTAAAACTGACAGGTGCCATTAGTCACAGTCACACTATTAAGTCACACACTGTCACGCTATTTTGTGTAACTTGATATACAATGTCCAAAGAATATACTTTTAAAGAAAATTTGGGTGTTTGAAGGGAAAAATTTACTATGTCAAAACAAAATGTATCAATAAATTTGATACACAAAAAAAGAAAATATCTATTTCTTAAGAGTTCCAAATTTTATTTCAATGTAATTTTATAAATGAGATTTGCAACTATAACATTTAAATGGGTTAATTATGATTTTTTGTTTTAAAAAAGCATTTGGAGGGATGCAGGTGGTGGTGAAGGGTGGAGACAAACAAATACCATTTTCATTAGTCAACTCACCGGTGTTTCTTCTAATACCATAGAATCTTCTCTTGGTTTTTCAGATAGAATGTTAACCCTCTCATTTGGTCTCTGTAGGGTAAGTAACAACAACAACAAAAAAAAATTAAAGTTTTAGCAAACAGAACAAAATAGCTAAAGTAAATAGCATACATAATGAGAATGGAGGAGAGAAAAAGGCATACTAACCCATTAGCAAAAAGAGAATAAAAAGAAAATTATGTACTAGGAAATACAAACCTGGAAAACAAGAACACCACTTCTGCCTTAAGATGATGTAAGCATTTGTAAGTATTCTAGATCATTTTCTTCAATCCTTACAACTGGTCAGGGAAAATAGGCTCTGAACTGCGAGTATCAGCAGACTCTGAACTGCTGGTGCCAGGCCAAAGAACTAAGGAACAAAGTGAGCGGGACAGGTCACCAGGACAGAACACTGTGCATGTGGGGGGTTGTGCAACACAGATTTGGTGGACCAAACCTGAGTGAAGAGCACAGTACTCAGGTGGGACCAGTTGTCACCATTCAAAAGTCAGCTGGGGCAGAGACCTAGCCTGATGAACTGTGACCTGACCAGTGTGGAAGGAAGCTGAGATGCTTTCAGATCCAGCCCTCAAGGAAACTACAATCAGAGGGGAGAGAGTCAAAAAGTGAGTGATAAGAAAAATCAGGGAAGAAGAGGAAGAAGATTTCAGGAAGAAGAAATCTCAAAGAACTTGAACATAAACAGATACATCAACAGGAGGAATAATAACAGAAAGAAATATGGCCTTCAGATCTAGTAAATGAGTTTCAGCATCTCTACTGCAAAACAAAGGGAAAAGATTCAACATTTCATGAGACAGAGGACCCTGTGGAATTTGAGGAGAATGTGGAATTACAACATACTGTTCCTCAGTGGTTTTAAAGAGAAATGTGAATTATGAGAGCAGAATTTATTTCCTGCACAGCAAAAAAATGAGCAGAACAGAAAAACTTTTATCTGCAAAGACAAGCCTCACCAAAGGAAAAGAAAAGACAGAACCATAGATTGGGAATGCAAATACACAGAAGTGAAGAACAACCCAGAAGAACAGAAGCAAAGAACAAAAACATTAAAAGAAAATGTTATCTCATGCAAGCAAAACACACAGATCTTGAACGCAAAATGCATAAGGTCAACCTAAGGATCACAGGTCTCCCAGAAGGACAAAAAAATCTTAACACCATAATGAAAAAAAGAATAGAAAAGAACTGCCCAGAACTTCTAAACATAGAAAATGAAATCTCAATTGAAACAATTCACAGATGACTTCCAGGAAAAACTCAAGGCTACAAACTCCAAAACACATAGTAATTAAATTTAACCATTCAATTCAGAAACATCAAGTTCTACAAGCCACCAGGAAAAGACTTTCAAATCTAAAGGAAAGGATATTTGAATAACACAAGACTATTCCATACCTACCAGAATAACGGGGAGGGAATGGAATAATGTGTTCTGTAGAGCATCTGAGCTTAACCATACAGGACAAAAGATGGATATTCAATAATAAAAGAGTCTGAAATATTTTTAGAAAGAAAATTCAAACTGAAGAAATCATTTGCTTCTCAAACAACAGAATTGCAATAGGAGTGAATAAATGAAGACAGCAACAGGAACAGAGTGACAACAGAAAGACTAGTAAGAGACTTCTTTCTAAAGGTATACAGGGAGATAGAGATGAAGACAAATTTAGTAGAGGTAACAGTTAAGAGGGGAACAGAGGGCATTATGGACAGAAACTTGTGACACCTTTCCTATAAGGTAAATTCTTCTTTTGTGGGACTACATTCATGGGAGGGTGGAGTAGGTAGATAGAGTAAAGTGAGGGATGTTTTGGGGTTAAATTAAGGGCTAGTATTTGTGGTCAAATCAAGGGCTAGCAATGAGGAGAAGGTTACTTCTGTGATCTTAGAAAGAGAAGAGCCTATAGGAGTGAGGAGAGGGTAGAATTGAAAGTGAGAAGGCCTTATTTTGGAGATGGGTTTCCACTGATGAATACTCCTATGGGTGAGGGGAGATAAGGACCTCAAACTGGAGAAGGTCTGAAGTATTTGGTGCCTGAAAAGTCTGCTAGTCCTGGGATGGGGGTAAGAGGAACCCCCAGGGCAACTGGTACCTGGAGGAGTAGGAGAGCAGAGGCACAAGAAGTAGACTTCCTGGCAAATATAGGAAAAATGATCAAAAGAAAGGATACATGTCAGTGGGAGGAGTGTGACCCTACCATGGGGCATTTTCCTCTCTGACACATACAATGACTGACATTGTTCTGGGAGATGGAAATGGGAATGCGTTGGTTAAGTAAGCACTTCAAGGCAGTGGCAGAAGTGGTAGCTAAGGGAAGAGCCCTCAAATGGCTACCCTGGAAGCTTTGATTGTATAAAGAATACAGAGAAAAGACAGACTAGATGATTATAAGGGTCATAAATCAAAACTGAGGCTTTAGAATAAACAGAGAGGATGGATAATAAAGAGAGTGAGAGAAATCCTTTTTGGAAAGGGATGCAAAAACAAATTAAAAAACTAATGAAGAGGAACAGCTAAAGGGGAGGAGAGGATGAGGAATCTACGTGACAAAGAGGAAAAAAGAGGAAGAATGTATACATAACCAGATAAAAGCAAGACAGAGGAACAAATAAATAAAACCCTAAAGAGAAAATGGTAACAAACCAGAAAAGGGAATTTTTTTTGGGGGGGGGCAAGAGAGCCAGTGGGAGCTGGGCCACTTAAAAATAAGATTAAATTAAAATAACTCAAGGAAAATAGTACTGTCTTTACAGCAGAAAAGCAAAGAAAATATAACATAAAGATGATGCTTTAAGTTTTGAAATTTGTCTCATTTCAAACCAACCCTAAGAGTCATATTTTCTCTTCTTCTACCATTAAATATATTAGAAACTAAACTTTAATTTATAGAAGGAATGGAATTTCATTGAGATGCTTTGAAAATAACAGCAGATCTTATGAAATTATACATAACACCAAAAAAAGATGACAAACTCAAAAATTTTCATTCAATTCCTTCAAGTTGCTCACATTATAACAAAAAGGGATAAATGACAAAAGGGTTTAACATGATAGTTTCATACAAAAGTACCCCAGAATAACCTACACAGTCCATGTTTCTTTGGGTCACAGCAATTTGTTGAGAGCAAAATCAAATACTAGCCCAGTTAAAAAAAATGTAGCACTAGTTGCTATTCAAAACATATTCAATAAAACAAAAACACCCAATTTCAGAAGACAATTACATTCTCATTAATACAATTTTTCAAATTTCACACATACATCATATTAAGGTGGCAGGTGTGTGAGTCAATGGCTTCATTTCACCAATCACCTGTTGTGGTTTTGGCTCCAAGCCAGCACCTATTTTTTGGTCCACTTTGCAGCTCTAGCATGGAAATCCACTTGAGGTAGAATAAAAGACACAAGGAGAATTCTTCTTGTTCCCACAACCTTCTTTTCAGAATTTAAGTTTAATTTACACAAACTAAAATTATTGCCAACGGCGCTGTAATCTAAAAGTCTCTGCCCTACTGGTATGCATTACATTACTCAATCAACAAGCATTTATTGAATGTCTACTATATGCCAGGCTCTATTCCAGGCAATGGGGATAAAAATGCAAAAAAAAAAAAAAAGACACAATCCCTATTCTCAAAGAAAGTACATTCTCTTATAGAGGAGAAAATGTGACAAAGCCAATATGTTTTTCATGATTTTACATGTATAATTGATTTCATATTGTTTGCCTTCTCAGTGGGTGGGGAGGGGCTAGACGAAGAGAGGAAAGGAAGGCAAAATAAAAAAAGAATGCAAGGTAAGTGAATAATAGACTAGGGGGAAAAAATCACAAAGTACACAAGTGCACAGTAAATATATTCAGAATAAATGCAAAATGAAGGCCATGTGTAGCACTGTGGATAGAGCTGGTCTCCAAACCAGGAAGATCTGAGTTCAAGCTGTGCCTGTGAAACATCCTACTTGTTTAGCCTTGGGTAAGTCATTTAACCTCTCAGTGCTCTAGGCAACTCTAAGCAAAGAAGATTCTGTCCTAATGTAGGACAGAATCCCTCACATCAATGTAATCTTAGGTTCAATTTCTATCCTTATCCTTAAATTCAAAATAGTTAAGGATAGTGGACACCAGCAGTTAGGTGGCATCAGGAAAGACTATGCATGGAAGAAATTGGGTTTGAGCTTCTGCTGGAAGGGACAGAAGGATTCTGTGAGGAGCAAAGATGAGAGGGGAGCACAGGCAGAGAAACAAAAGGTGGAGTGTCTTGTCTAAGAACAGAAAGAAAGCCAGTTTGTCTGAGCCTCTGAGAGCAGGGAGAGAAATAATAACATAAAATGAGGCTGGATAGGTAAGCTGGAACCAGGTTACAAAGGTCTTTAAAAGCAAAAGGAATCTATATTTTATCTTAGATACACTAGAGAGCTGCTGGAGTTTATAGAGGAATGACATAGTCAGTCCTGTGCTTGAAGAAATTTGCTTTAGCAACTGTATATACGCATTAGGGAGAGATCTGAGTTTGGGAGACCAATAAGAAGTCCACTGCAATAATTTAGGCAGAGATGAAGAGAGCTTGAATTAAGATAGTGTCAGTGGGAGAAGAAAAAAGCAGGGTGTCAGATATGAAGGTAGATGAGACAAGATTTGGCATCTGAACAGTTAAAAACCTGGGAGATTGGAAGAATGGTGGTATCTCTGACAGAAATAAAAAAGTTTGAAAAACAGGGTAGGTAGGTTTAGGGGAAAGATAATGAATTCTGCTTTGGCCATAATGAGTTTGAGATGCTTCTGGGATATCCAGGCAGAAGAGTCCAATAAACAGTCTGTGATGCAGTAGAGGACTAAGACTGCTTACATAGATCTGGGAGTAATCTGCAGACAGATTAAACCCATGGGAGAGCTACATGAGGTCATTGAGAGAATATATAGTGGAAAGGAGAGGTCCCAGCACAGAGCATTAAGGTTCACTCCCAGTAGAAAAGGACACTGGAAAGTGGTCAGACAGGTAGGAGAACCAGAAGAAAACAGTGT